GCTCCTGAGCAGCAGAACACGCAGGCATTATGTCAAGCTCCTTTTGTACCAGTGCTTGGAAGTGAGACAAATCATTATGGGTAGATGTGCATGCAAATTTTAGGTCATCAGTAAACAAGAATGGTTTACCGTGTGCAAAGCAGCTGCAGGTGTCATTGACGTGTAAGGTAAAGAGAACGGGACCTAATACATTGCCTTGCATTCCACCAGAGGTGATTGGCTTAGGTTTTGAAGTGTGTGAATCTACCTTCACCGCTTGGGTGCGACTACTGAGAGAAGACTTAATTCATCCTAATAATGGGTAGTCAATTCCCAGAGACTTTAGCTTATTCATTGAAAGTAAGTGATCAACTATGTCAGATGCCTTTGAAATGTCTGGATAAAGCACGTGGACTAATTGGAGTTGGCCATACCTAGTGGTTGTGAAGTCAAAGAAGTCAAGATGGCAAGTTGTACACAACCTCGATCTTACGAACCCATGTTGACTCGATGTGATGATGCTGCCACTAAGCATGTGCTGAAGATCGCTTTCTTTAACAACTTTCTCCATACATCCAGAAGCTACAGGCGTAGTATTTACTAATCTGTAATTACTGCTTAGTGTTCTTGAAGTCGATTTATATTTAGGAGGGATAACTGATGTTGCCCATATATCAGGGTATATGAAAGATTCCAAAGACGGAGAAAATATTTTAAGTAATAGTAATGGAATATCAGGGCCACCAAATTTAAAGAAATGTGGTGATATTCCATCTGTGCAGGCGCTACTGGGGTATTTTAGCATCCTGTCGGCCTGGCTAATATTAAGGTGTGTGAATTCAACCGTATCTATTGCCGTTAGTTGAGGAGAAGAATAGCTTTTAGAAGCGCAGACCGCATTAGTGTCACGGGAAAAATCTGCAGGTTCCAGATAACTAACTGCAAATAAGCCGCTGAATATTTCACAAATATCCACTGGATTATAGTAAGCTTTGGTGCCGTGGATAAGAAGAGGAATGTTGTGTCTTGTGCAATTCGATAGCTTCTTAAAGAGTGCTGAGAAAGCATATATTCTAGATGAACTAGCCAACACACCACTCCATTCTTCATACGCAAACTGTGGTTATGCGAAATAGAGTTAAGAATACCAAGAATCAACCAAGGTGCATCAAATTTGGGATGCCTGCGGTATTTTGTTGAGGGTCCGCGTAATTTTCTACGAACTCCGGAAGGTACATGTCGCTTATTATTTGGAGGCATCCTTTTGAAAAGTTTCAACGGAATAATGGTATCCAGACAGGTTTTGGAGTTGTAGTAAGACATATCAGGGGCCAATTCAAGGTCTGAAGTGGTGGAGTGTGATCCCCAGTCGACGCACCTAGTCAGAGGACACATCTGCTGCAGTCCGTCCTACCATGGTCTCCATATACTATTCGGTATGGAGCGGGGGTACCAACTGAAGTGCCGGTTGAAGGAGGTGGGAGTGTGCACAGTGCAGTTTTGTGATCGCTTCTTGGTAACTTGGAGCTTACATTCGTCAAGATAGGAATAAGGTTGTGGCAAAATATTAGGTCCAAAACATTGTCACCTCTTGTAGGAGTTGTAACAGTTTTCTTCCATCCAAAAACAGACAGTGTATGGAGAACGTCGTCATACCTAGCCGGACCAGTAAGTGAATCCCACATAATTTCAGGTAGGTTAAAGTCACCGCATATTATCTTGTGATTATATGGGAGGGTGGATGCATATTCCAGAGCCACAGTCAATGGAATCTCATGATTGTTAAAGGTGCCAGGCGCTCTGTGAACGCATTCCACCAATGGTGTAACATTCCCGTAGTGTACTGTGACCCATAGAGAGTCACTTAATTTATTCAGAACCATATTTTTCCAATAGAATGCAGTAAGGGTATTCAGGAAGCACACTTGAGAGCCCGCTTCTTTCTTGCCACTCCGGTCATATCGGAATCGTGTGGACGTGTCAACACTTACCTCTTCATCCGGTATATTTGCGTGACACCAAGACTGAGTGATAATTTTTACCGGCGGCTTACATGTGAGCGCGATTCCTCTGACTACCGATAGTTTGCTAAGGACGGACCTTGCGTTTATGGGAACGATGTACAAGTAAGAGAAGTAATAATGTGTAAAGCTTTCTGGTTCTCCAAATAGGCCAATGTACATCTTGTTGTTGCGTTGTCTAGTGTTTTACGAAGTCTTTTGGTCTCAAAATTTGTGCATAGCTTTGCTATTTGTTGTTGCAGTTTGCAGGGCAGGCGAGTGGTAAATCGACTGCCCAGCGACCTGAAGTAGCTTCACGTTTATTAGTAGAGTACCTAGTTATCTTTTCAGTCGTGGTGTTCAGCATGCACTTCGTGTCCACACACACAGAGTTATGCTCAATGGAAGCGTAGTCTTTAGCGCTGCACCTGTTTCACAAATGTCAGGCAGTTTTACTTCTCTACGTGGTGGGTGTGTATGACTGGTGACACCGCCTGCGGGATTCAATATACGTGTTGCGTTTTCGCATCTGTTGACGCCACTTGGGAGGTTGGTACCTGGGATTTCTGTGTGTGGTTGACCACATCCTTCCTGTTTCTGCAACAGCGCTTAGATGAGCGGTTCAGAATAAGGGGCTCCAACATCCGCAATCAGTTGTTTGACCAAATCTGCATCTGAGTAGGATGTAATCGACAAAAAATCATGTTTTTGCGTTCCATGTAAAATTCTGTTCTGCTTTGTATTCCTTGCCAGTGACTGCCCTCTGTTACAAGTCACACAGGACAACTGGCATTATATTGGAGTGGAGGCTGTTTCCTAGTAGGCTAGTGCCATGCAGGCAATCAAAGTTTCTCCCCACAGTGTGTCCTGGTGACGTTCTATTATAGATGATTTGACGTTGACTCTTCTCATTAGTAAACAACAGGGTTGGGTTGTCGAGACGTTTATTCGTGTTTTCCTTACTGATTGGAAGTAGCTCAGTGTATAGAACCTTTTTGGTGGAGCTACTGTTCGTGCTTCTGTCAGACCCAGAAGAGATTACAGGATCATTTCGGATCATTGTACGCTTTCTACGCCTGTTTTTGCCTGTTGGGTGCCGCCGGCACATTGGTTTGTTTTTGCATATTGAGTGGCCTCCAGAAGCACTGAAAACAGACGCAGAGACATCAGCGTACATGCTCACACCACTATTGCAGAAGTTTCGCAAGGAAGGAAGGAAGTGAAGATACCTGGCGACTGAAAGAAGGACTGCCCTGTCGAACTTCCAAAGAAGGGCTACCTAGTCTCTGCAAAAGCTGGCGCATGACCATGCTACTGGCCATGTCCACCCCAAGTAAAATATTACCCAGCATCATCCTACGCAAGCTGAAAAATGCTCTGGATTCAAAACTACGACCGGAACAGGCTGGCCGGCCGGCTTCAAGAAAAATGAATCATATGGGATGAAGTTGCGACGCTACGCTATGCGTCACCATAGAACAGCGTAGAATGGCAGTTAATTCAATCTCGACTTCATCGACTTTGAAATGGTCTTCGATGGGGTCAACCGAGAAGTAGTTTGGGAACTACCTCAACTTCTCAAGATGGCCTAGTTAACCGACACGAAGTCTTAGGGCCTTGATAGAATAAAACCGTCTTACAGAGTCATCCCACTGACGTTAACAGCTGTTCTGTCTTATCCTACGGCCAGTTCTCGACATGCGTTTGAGCGGAAGTTGTTGTCCCATTGGGTTCGACAAGACAAACAATAAAAGTGACGCATTATTCGTCTGGCTTATCCGCATATTTTAGGTACACAAGACACGCTGGTGCAGACGTAGCCTATGGAACCTCAATAACATCACCCGCATTGAGGAGGTCCTCAAGAGCGTTGGTTTGTCAAAACCTGCTTGCTGATTCCCACCTCACGGACAGCAACGGTGAGGGTTTACTGCCATTTGTTTCATTCATTTCACAACCGCTTTTTATGAATTCTGACTTAAGGTGGCGCGTGATGTTATTTTTCTCATGATACACTAAGTGGGACCTCTATCACGCAGGAATACGGAAAAACACACAATCCGTCCTCCCTAAATCTACTCAGGTCCCCCCTTTTCTGTCGTTGTACTTCTGTTCAACTCGTCTTCGCTTATTTTTTGTCCTTTGTTCACTTTGTACGTCTTTTCGTCCCTTTTATCTCCTTTTTACAATCAGGACATGTTCAAAGTACTCCATTCTACTTACGTTAGACCTCACTTGGATTACTGCACTCGGGCAGCCAGCCCATGCCTAAAAAGGGATGCTGACGCACTCCAGCGTGTTCTTCGGGTAGGCAATAAGCTTGTGGCAGGCCTTTCGAATCTGTCGATTGAGGGACGACTATATTGGCTAAACTTATTCCCACTGTCTTAACGTAGGAGACGGGGTGATCACAAACTAGTATTTCGTATTCTTAATAATGACTTCGGTACTGATATGTCTTACCTTTTCACCCCTGCTGGGACTGACTATCTCCAAGGGCATCACAAGAAAGTTCAAAAACCGCTATCGAATCAAATTAGCGTGAATCTGCATTTCCTCTATCGTGTTGTCAAAGCCTGGAACTCCATACCTCAGCTAGTAGTATCAGCACCTTCTGTCAGTGTGTTCAGGGAGAAACTAGATCTTCACACAGATTTCTTCTGCAAGGATTGACCCAGGCCAACTGGCCTACTATCCTTATAACTGAAAACTGAAACTGAAGTTACACAACTGTCTGAAAACACATTTGAGGAAGCCCCTACGCACCACTGTCCTGAGGCGAATTGCACAGCCCCTCTACTAATTTAACCAAAACCTGAACGCCCGTCAGATATACCAAGGCCACAGTAGGTGAGCTCGTAGATCTACGGCATCGCAATTCACCAAAGACCTGGAATAGTTCCACGTAAAGAAATTGAATGGCTTAAACAAGCTTTTAGGGAGATATTGAATTCAAAGTTCTGAGGCCAGGGAATTTTCAAAACTGCAACTCTGGTATCTACTATGGGGCGTATTTGCAATGATTTGTTGAAGTCTTCGATAATCCAATACATTGTTTTAAGTCACTGAAACTACGTCAGGCTTCTGGGTCATGTGATGGCGGAGTACGTCTGCTCGCTTTTGAAACTTCGTGGTATCTAGGTTAGTGATTAACAGTTTGTCGCATTTTGTTGAAAAATTTGAGTGGTTTTAAATGAATGCCAAACACCAATTTTGCACGTGCCAACATTGGAGCATTTCATAGGTGGCTTGCGAAATACCAGCCAATGAGTTCGGACTGTTTATTACTGTTTATTATTAAATGCAAAATACTGGTATTGTGGACTGACTTGTTCATGAATCTGCTGCTGTTCTTGGTGTCTTTAAAAATGAAGTTCCCCTTTGTACCTGACAACGTAGTACTTGTAGTGGTGTTCCTTGCTCCTATGACCAACAACCTGCTTGACATACCGCATAAGTTCGAACAAATCACTGCACCCACAGTCACTGTAATCCGTTTACTTAACCTTCTTGCTATTAGACCATCAACTAACATGCTTTGAAGCTATTTCATAGGATTCTTGGACATTTTGTTCGAATCCATAGACGTTTTGTTTCCACTCCATACTCAGAACTCTTTCTAAACCTTAACAAGACCTATATACAACCTCACTTAGAGGCCCACAACGCCATAGCACCACCATACCTGAATAAAAATGTGAGTTTCCTGGGGGAAGTTCAGAGGCGAGCCATGAATGGCATTGTAAGAATGCGGCGAAAACCTTATGAGAATAGACTGAAGAATTTGAGCTTTTACTCAGTTACCAAAGGTGATATTAAGTCTGCTGTAGAAACAGTGGTAAAGACAATTGATAATCGACAGCCGAAGGTTAGCGAATGTCATTAGATTTCCGTAACACCATCCGAACTGATTGATGCGAGAAGACTGATTCCAGTTGACTGTGACCACGATGAAGGGCGAGTAACTTAAATGTAAATTGAATAAACGTCTTCGCGTCGATCGCGAGCAGTGGTGGGTGGCAAAAGTAAAAAAGATAGAGAAGGCATCAGGGTTGGGTAATACATGGTAACTACTTAGGCCTGTCAAGGATACCGACAAGAAGATAGTGGTTTGCGGAATCATATGAAGGCATGCCTCTTGAATTGTGACGTGTTCTTGCTCGTCTCCATGTTACTCGTTCAAATCCACGTTTACAACTGTCCACTTGGATCTTTCAACTCCCTACTGAACGATTTTGCAACAGTCCTGCTGCAAAACGTAGAGTTGCTTACCTGGTCATCACTGTTATGCTCCAACCGGACAGCTGTGTAGTAGGTCTAGCTGTCTCAAATGTTATAACTCAGGTTGCTGCATCTACGGCAAAATATATCTCACTCACTTCTTCGACCAGAACGTGTTATTAGTGTTTTGAATTCAGTAACAGTCGAAGTTAAGGTAGGTAGTCTACTGTTTACTTGCTTCACATGTTTAGTACTCCGCTCTTTCCGTTGACTCTGTTATAACTTTCGTCTATTTATTAACATGCGTAGTGACTGCTACTTCCGAGAAATCCAGTCTTTGAGGCGCCTTGAATAAAGCTTCGTCACAGTCAGTGACCGCCCTGTACTCAGTAGTAACCGGGGCTCATCATCAGGATCAACATAGGACCAGGGATTACTGCATAACGGTCCAAGTTACCACACCTCATATCAACATATCAAGTAACAAGATAATCACATGGAAGATGAAGAAGGGAAGGAAAATCGGTCACAAGTAGTAGAAGAGAAGGGAAGGAAGAATGAGATGAGATTAAGTATGACGGTTGAGATAACGATAATGTGTGTATGCGCCACTGACATCGATTCCAAGCCACATCACCTAGAGTTTCCAACTACTGGTCTCTCTTGTCCCACGGACCCCAACCGGCTAGTCTGCACCACCCTACATGGCTCATACCAACAGTAAAGAACTTCATGCATTGATGCCATATTTAAATCTAGCCACTCCGAGCCTTTTTCCAGCCTGAAACTACTTCGGCCAACATTATGTGACGGAGCAGACGGTAGTTAGACATGCGTAACACATGTCCCAATCATCTCAGTCTATGAAGGTTCACAACCTCGCCAACTAACCTACCTGTAGTCCCTAAAGCTCTACGCCGGACTTCTGCATTATTCACGTGGTGACACCACGGAATACGCCTATACTACGAAGGCAGCGTTGGTAAAACACCTGAAGCCTCATGTCTCCCACCTTCAGTGGCCATGTTTCACAGCCATACAGTTGAATAGAGCAGACTGTTATGGAGTACATGCGACCTTTAATAGACAATCAGATTCGCGGCGGCACCACAGGTGGGGTAAGTTGGCGAAAGCTAGCCGAACCTTTTGTGTCCGTGCAGAGGTTTCGTTGGCCGCTGACCCACCAGAACAGAGCTGGTCTGACTTCCCAGGTAAGTGGAGTATTTAACGAGCTCAACCACTTCACTCGATTGTAAGTCGGGGTACTGTTGAAGGCCAGTTGTGGAGCGACAATTTGCATCCCAAACATTCTCAAATTGCCACTCAAGATGTCTAGAAGACTGCATCTTGTCAGCGTTTTCACCTTACAGGACCATATCATATGCGTATTCCAGGTCTGCCAAAATTTTTTTTGTGATTGAGTCAATGTGTAGTCAGATGAGGAGAGGGAGACCTCCATAAGAAAATCTGTGATAAGACTGAATAACTAGAGCTGGAGCTAAGGTGTCAAAAAGTGACAGAAATCCTTAAAGAATGCTAACCCACCACCTAGATCACACCCTACCGAACAGTCACAACTTCTAACACCCCGAGTTATCTTCATAGCATTGTAAATATCTCTATCCTCAGTCGAGGAAACGCGAACCTCGTTGCCACACCTAGCACCTATTCTGACCTACAGGTGGAAACCACCATGCGAAAACCTCAAGGAGTAAGACAGAAGCACTTGGCCAAACTCCATAGATATGGTGACGACTGTCACACATGTGCTGTCACTGTAAGTAAAAATGATGCAGCCTTTGGGTGCAACAGGTAGGTGCATTGTCGATGTGCCAAAGAAGTACCAAATCAGTACTACAATTTTATGATGCGCCATCCATGCACCTGGTTTTGGTACATTTACCCACAGTGCCGTCTGAGACAGCTACTAGCCTCAGGCGCACTCAGAGTGGCTGATAAGCTCACCCCAGTAACCGCCAAAAAGAAGGTATCCGTCCAAATCACCACTATGAAGGAGATTCACCTTCCAAAGGCTGTCAGTAATGCCCCACCGAAAGTTAGACGTGAGCTGTCCAAAGCCAAACAAATGACTCCCAACACCAAGGGCAACAACATGCACTCCAAGCCCTGAAGCCACACCAGCGACAGCCGCCGGTAGACAACATAATACATGGGTTAGGATGGAGAAGAAAGTTCGAATTATCCACGGGAACGCACCTATAGGACATAGCTGACCGATCAAGTTGTCATCCTATTTAGCGTTCCTGTATGCAATGACAGCCTTCTGGAGCATAAGAGTACGTTTGACAGACAGCAGTAGGACTCTCTATGTACCATGCTAGGTTCAGGCTCTCGACTATACAAAGACACCTATTCGCCCCCGTGGAAGCGACCGATTGGAGTGGCTCCTGGCTCAACTAGGTAGGCCGAAAGGTTCCTTTTACTTTCACAAACCCAGGTTATCAACAGATCATCCAGCATTGGAGCTAGGACTGACCGATCATCGGTGACGAGAAAGACATCTCGAGAAACACCTTATCCGCAGATCCCCACAATCATGGTCATCCATGAAATACCTGGACTGACAACCGGTACCCCAGGTATTAATTACGATGAGAGTGGTTATCGACATGGATGGGGCTAAATGGGGTTGGAGCGGTGGCTATCGGTAGGCTGCCACAACCTCCGCACCTGACAACCGTGGCCTTACCTAGACTAATGGCCGTCAACTTTAAATTCCCGGGAATTCTAACTACAGTGCTAGAGACGGGGGATAAAGTCAAGAGCACCATAAGCGGGAATGTTCGCTGCTGTTAAAGCAGACGTAGAACACTGCGAGAATAGCAGACAGCAGTTACTCCCTGTGCTCAGGTAGCCATCACCCTACACCGACTCGTTGAGGGTCAGACCGGCAACCTCCACTCAATACAGACTGCACCATTCAGTGTGGGAAAAAACTTAACTGGGCCGGTTCCATTAGAGGTTCTCCACAGAAGAGCCAGATGGTGACGAATATGCAGCTTTTCGAAATCGATGCAACATTAGGGCTCGAGGAGACAGGAAGTCATTCCAGTCCAACGTCGTCAAGAAACTTTAGGTAAACCCTAAAAACCTATTCCGGTTCATGGCAAAGAGAGAATTTACAAGTCAAGGAACATGCGTCATCAAAGGTCTAAACGGAGAAAACCTCTCTGGACAGATCACCGAAATGTTAAGCACCACCTTTGACACAGCTCAACATCCTACCACGCAAGCACGCATACCCACAACCTGAACAGCCCCCAACGTTATCTGACGTAGCTGAGTTACGCGAACTACAGATAACCCGTGCTGTTGTTCTTGGTAAGCCATCAAAGCTAAGTGCGGGAAAATCCCTAGGGTGCGACAACATTCGCCAAACTGTGTTGAAACAATGGGAGTACCGTAAGTGGCCCACTCTGCAACCTTTTTCAACACTCCTTAGATAAACAAAGGCTCCCACGAGAGTGGAAACGTGCTATCCTCTCCTATATTCACAGGAGGAGACATGGGGAACCTGAACTGTTACCGACCCATGGCACTTTCACCAGTAATGTCAAAAGTTATGGAAAGCTTGATAGACGACCGCATCAGGGAATACCTGGACACAAAACGAGCACTTAGTGATGCTCAGCGTTGCTTCCGGAAGATTAGGTCCTGCCCCTCAAACCCCCTGATAGCACATGATCACTGGACAACATGCTAGGACCTCAAGGTCCCTGTCCACGCGGTTTCTCTGGATATCGCCAAATGTTTTGGTACAGTCTCACACCATCCTAATACACGAAATACCAGGATTGGGTATCCGCGCCCAGGTGCTATGGTGGCTACGGAACTATTTAGACGGTAAGGAGTTCTGCATTAAAATCAACATGGTTCGTTCATCTTGAAGAACATCATCGTCCGGTGTATCACAAAAAGCAATTCTGGGTCCACTGTTGTCCCTATTGTTCGTAATTGACCTTCCGCTGCATATCGGCTCTCCGGTTCTCCTTTACACTCACGACGTCAGGTTACGGAGAGCAATAATTTGCGAAATGGAATCGAATGCACTACGGGACGACATCGAAACACTCGAGGAATGGGTGAAAAATAATGAATAACCTGGATAAATGCCGGTTCATGTTTCTCTGCACTCGTGATCCATGGAAAGTATCCTCTTAGTGGTTCACATCTTTCTCATACTCCCACTCCCATTGTGTGAAGGCTAGTGATACTACTTGGCTGCTGGAACCTCGATAGGTAGGGCGGGGCTCAAACCCGTGACCCATCGGTTAAAAGCTATCACTCTAAACCAATAAAGCACAACTCCACAATACTAGACACACTACTAAATGAGACACAATACAAAGTATATGTGGCCATACGCTGGTATGTCTGTTTTCTAAGATCTAGATGTCCATACACCACTGAATTTCCTTTATTAAGTAAGTATCTGCGTATCAAAGTAATTTTTCATGTGTAGTACTGAGACTAAGTTCAAAATTCCTTCGGAAGATTTCTCTGATGGATTAGAAACAAATGAGTTATTTTTACTTCATCTTCTCACTATAGACTTACCCTTTCATCGATACTGGTTGTTAAATAAGCAGTTTAGCTATCAAAAGTTTATTCTTATAAATTTCTTATTGATTTTAACTAACTGAAAATCATCCAAGTATTTATTTCCCATTTTTATCTTAGCATATTCATTTTGACTCTATGCTAACTTTGGTTTCGTATCAACTAATGTGATGGATTCATTTCTAAGTTATGCAACCACTGCTCTGGTGAGTTGTTTTGTCTATTCACATCACTGTATGTGATAAGTGCGGTTATAGTTGTGTTTATTTAAAGCTTTTATTGCTTAATTCTCTTAGCATTCAGTTTGTAAAGGTAAATGGATTCTTGTAGTTGGAAATGAAGCTTGTGATTTGGACAGTACAGCATGTGCACTTGCTTATGGATTTTATAAACATATGGTAGGTTACTTTTTTAATCATTCCTTTTTCATAGAAAATGTGTATTAGACGCTTGGAAATGAATTCACTGTTATACCTGTATGCAATATCAATAGAGAAGATATGATATTACGTACAGAAGTTACTTTTTGGCTTACTCAATGTGGTTTGAAATGGGAACAATTAATTTATCTAAACGATCTGTTTGATGAAAAACATTTAAAACTTACTGATAATCAATTATCTCTTATCCTAGTTGATCATAATTTACCAACGAAAGAATTTAATCAACTGCCTGTTATCGAAATAATTGATCATCATCAAATAATAAATTATGAATCTATTGAAAATTGTCCATTCAAACAAATCAATCCTGTTGGCTCTTGTTCAAGTTTAATTACACTAGAAATTTTAAAAGGAATCAATGGAAATGAACTACCATTCAATGTATGGAAATTACTTTATGGTATTTTAAAATTGTTTCATGTTTTTTTTTAATACTAATAATAATTTTGTTTAATAGGTGCAATATTAATTGATACCATTGGACTTTCTAGTACTGGTCAAGCAATTGGACGTTTAACTGAATTAGATTATCGTATGGCAAATCGTATTGAAGATATTATTTATAATCGAATATTTACTCCTAGTATATCTAGAAATACATTGTTTAGTCAGTTGGAAACAGCAAAATTTAATGTTGAAGGTAGATTTATATTGTAAAGTGAAATATTTATTGAAAATTTAATTTTTTCATAAATTTTATTTAAAAGCTATACATAGGATATTATTATTATTTAAATTGGCTATTTCTTTTTAAGCCTTAATGAGTATTACTGATGTCACATGTATAGGTTTGTGATGAATACTAGTTAGATCTTCTATCTTCTAACTAAAAATTCACTATTAATCTTGTCTAATTTAGTATGATCTATCTAGAGTTTAAAGGAGACTAACTGGCTGACAAAATCAACACAGAGCCTTGCATATGAGTACAACTCAAGCTGCCAGACTTCAGTAGTACGCAAACAACAGGTGGACAGAAAACGACTCATGTCAAAGTAGACAAGGTAATGTGAGAGGATATAAAGCATTTTTGAAGATAAAGGTTAGCGTGAATATACAAGCTTAAGATGTCAAGGAGTGAATATATCTGCGCTTTTGTTACCGATTTTCAGCCATGTCACCAAGTGTTCTCAATCACTAATTCCTTTCATCTTGTGGGCCCCAACCAGGCGATCTGCATCTCATACGGCTCAAGCCAACAGTCAGGGACTGGTGTCTGGTCTTGATCTGGCCACCTTGAACCCTTTTCCATCCTAATTCTCAACTTCCCCTAGTATGACACATTGAGGTAGGCGGTGGCTAGGCATGCACAGTGCATGTCAAAGCCACCTCAGTCGACTAAGATTCGTGACCTCACCAATCGACTTGTCCGTTTTGCATGGTCCCCTTCGCCTTACCTCAACATTGTCCACACGGTGATCATACCAAACGCAAGCGATCCAGGAAACACATCTGACCATTTCTTACAGCCATACAAGAGGACAGAAGGGACTGCAGCTCAGTTAACTCTTCCTCCGATAGATAGCCGGATACCTCGCCGACACCACAGGCAATGCAAGTTGGCAAATGCCAAACGGCCTTCAGTATCCGATCTGAGATTTCGTCTGCAAGCATCCCGTTCCGACTGATACAACTTCCCAAGCGAATGAAGTAGTGAAATATGTCGACCTTTTCAATCCGTATCGTTAAGCTGGGAGTCATTGCACACTGGTGCTGGAGCATCATTTTACATTTGACAGGTGCCAAATGCATGTCAAACAAACACAAATTTCTGCTCAAGGCGTTCAGAAGACCCTGGATTTCATCAGCGTTTTCACCTAGTGGGACATTATCGTCTGCATATTCCAAGTCAAGTTTGAAGCTATTTGTTAACATATCTACATCTCACTACCCACAAATTCACACTAACCTACCGCTATTATTTCGTACTCCAAAGGACGAATATTTGAAAGTGAACACTTCAAGCTCTGTATTTAAAACTCTGCTGTTCTATACTTCTCCTACATTCTTTGCAACAAGATTGTTACTAATGACTTCAAGAGTTTTTTGATATCAGGAAGACCAATTTTTGAGTTGTTCTTAGTTTTGCTATCAATAGTAATTAATAATTATCCTCTTTCGTTTATTAAGAAACTCATACAAACACATAAGAGATGAAATAAAAACAGTAATGCTAGTACAAATAATAACGATAACACGAGTAGAAAGGAGTTCAAGGCCTCTATTGTGTTACCCTATAAGTAAAGAACTTCAGAAACTTTACGTAGGATTCTCGACAAAGCTGGGATTAGGGTAGTATTTAAACCCATAAGTTCACTCAGAGATAAGCTTTATCAGCTCGCTTAAAGGTCCGATAGAACCAATTATCTATCTAATTATCTATCAAATCCCATGTAATGACTGTGAGGTCAAGCTATCCGGTCGGCGTCAGTTAGAATAGCTGAACATAGGAATTTGGCTAAACATAGAATGAGAGACCTCAACAGGAGCAATAATGTAGAAAAACACTCGGCTATTGCAATGCATGCATTAACAGAACTTCACGACAGGGTGGGGTAAAATCGTTGTACTTGAGTCCGATATAATTAGGTGGAAATATATATATATATATATATATATATATATATATATATATATATATATATATTACTGATCACTGAATCTTTGTTCATCGAATCAACACCCAACACATGTAATAGAAATAATACAACACCTATACCAGGGATATGGAAAACTTTACTACCAATAAAAACAACTCATATAAGGTGATAGGACTATAAAAGTCAAACGTCGAAAGTGATGTGATTACATTGATATGATTATAAGCAATGGTAATTTATGCTCGAAACATCATCAAGTAAATAATACTGTATCACTGTGTGCTGGGTTATATCAAATAAACAAATCTAATATAGTGTTATTGCTTGTATTACGCCGTCGTTGATTGGACCGAATTGATCGGTCTCTATCGGCGTATGGGCTCCTTCGCGGATGCCTCGATATTGCCTGCGTCTTAATTATATTCATGATGGATCGTGGCTAGCAGTGGAATCTAGAATCGCTCCCGAGTCTGAGTCCCGGTGGGAACAACATCACTCACTGGGAGGCAGGTACATCCAGCTGACGAATCCCAGATAGGACGAAATGCGCATCCTGGATTGCACTGCTAGCCACGATCCATCTTTAATATTAGTTTGATATAGGTCTGCATTGTGCCACGGTGCCAAAGTTTTACACACATTAATTTTGCTAGTGACCTCGATAAGTGGATCCACTGTTGAGGTGACCATAAATTAAAAAGAGTAGTTTTGGTAAATACAGATTTCAGAGTTTTCTGTTTTTATTACATGATTTTCTATGGCGATTTATGAAGACAGTCACTAACTTATCTAACATGTCTTTCGGAGTTGAACAACCACGGGTTTTCCTGATCAACTTCTGATCATTGGTCAAAGGACTTAGTTATGGTAATATTTCGGGTTACAAGTAGATCAATATTTTCAGCATTTTTCATCTTTTTTATGTAGAAAAATATCAGAATATAGATATCAGAAATTTTTCTGGTCATATCAGCAGATTTACTGTGCCAATGGATAACTTTCTATTGGTTTATTCAGATTGAATGACTGAGATCACTTTGATAGGTCCATATGTGATTTTTATGCTTCAAATCGCTAAACGGTTCTAAATGATTTCTAAGAATGTCCCATCAGTAAATGACTAATTGATTCCTTATTCTAGTGGCGATAATAAAGCATAGTTCTTTGAATGAATGACTGTCTGTTTATATGATATTCGCAGAAAAAAAACTATTTTATGTAATAGTCTTCAGAAGTCGAGGGTTTGTAGTCGTTTGACTGTTAAATGACATTTGATAGCTTCAGACCTAGAAGTACTTTGTATGTATGAGCTCAGTATGTTTTTACAAAACCCACTTCTCATTCTGGTACTTCATCTTGTTACCCGAGATGTTATGGCAATGCGTACCCCTAGTGGGATTTCCAAGTAAATATATCACAATACGGGAGATTTTTTTTACCGGTAAGGTCATGTCAAGTTTTGTAACAGACGTGATTTAGGGATCATGACAACGAGCAATCTAATATTGTATCTTATTGTATGTTTCTTCGGTGTGTAGTCATTTGATCACTCCATATCGAGTGAGTTATTAGATTACTGTAAACTAATAACTACAGATGTCTGATCGATGTGGATTAAATAATCCTACGGCTTTGTTTCATAGGAAGGTAATCCATAGTTCAGAACAAGACTTTTGAAGTTAGTGATACTATCACCAGTGTTATCTTGGCTTTTATGAATATTTTTACCGTCGCTTAGTGTATCTCTTGGTTGCAATACTTATACAAATGTTTCATAAAAACTAGTATTTGTATCTAGCATCATCTGTCTCGCTTTTCATAGGCTACCAAGTTTGGAAGCTTCTCTCATTTGTTCTACTAGAATTGAGAATCAGCTTCAGTTCACTTTAATACATTATCAACTAAGATATCAATAAACTCTTATCTAGAAATACTTCTCTATTACTTGATTTCAGCATTTTTCAAGGTTTCCAAACTCAAGTAACTCAGCGACTATGTATGGGTCCCCCTGCACTAGGTGATGAGCCACACTAGTTAGATAGCTTAGTTCTGTTTAGTTGCACAAACCTTGGTACACCTAGATATCTTGTGCACATTTTTACAACAGACAATGAGCCACAACTATTGTATGAAAGCCAATGATACTGCCTGTCTGCCTAAACCTCGTTAGGCGGAGCGGGACTCGAGTCTGTGACTTAATGGTTGGTAGTCATCTCAGTAAGCTACTAAGCCCACAGCTCAACACAATGACCAACTAAAGGTAAGTCGTGTATATTGTTTTAGGACTGAAAACTAATATCTGGGTAGTCTGATGAAATGTCAACTGAGTCGTACATGAGCTTTCGATACTAGCTAATATGTGAATAATCAAAATCATTGCAGTTATATATATATATATATATATATATATATATATATATATATATATATATATATATATATATATATTCCACTTTAGCTCGTAGTGATTCAATGAATGTTCATTAAAGAATTTGAACATTGAAGTATAGAATCGTGTTTACTGAAAATTAAAGCTGAAAGTTTAAAATGTCCGTAGAATTCTTTTGAAATGTATTTTCATAACTTCAATATGTTTATAAATTAATTTAAATAGGGTTATCTACATGGGATCTGTTACGTCGTGATTTAAAAATTGTTTCAAATCCAGATAAGAATGCATACCAGATTGTATGCTCCACTGTGTCTGGAGTAGATTACAAGGTGAGTTATAGTCAAATGTTAATTAGTAGCAGTTGTTTATCAGATTGTTTTTATCGACAAGTAATTCTTTATTTATTACTATGGTTCATAACTTTTAATTGCCTTGCCGTCTACAGTCATCCTAATACTATATATAAATTAACAGAAAGATTCAAAAATCTTATCGGGCGAATTATATGTAGTATAGTAGAGAATAGTTATGATGGATCGTCCTGAGGTCAGCATGATCACTTGTAAAAATGGATAAATTATAAATAGTTTCTTCCTATCGAAGTTACATTTTAGAAGTTTACTAAAATTAATGAACCTTTTTAATAAAAAATAAAAAAATACCCATCACCAATAAAGATTCACAACAACACTGATTCATGATCGTGATCTGAAATTTATGATAACTATTTGAAAGAGATTTTCATCAGGGAGAGAACCTTTGAAAACATAAGACTATTGAACAACTGTTTTATTCTAACTTGAGAGTTTCTCGACAGTGCCCTGTCACAATCCCCTGAGGGATCGAACCAAGGTTGATTCATGGGGCCGTTTGGGTGCTGTAATATATTTGCTTTATTCCAAACCTTCAATATGCTTACAGTATAGAATTCTCAGCAATATGATATTGCATACGTTTACCTGTTGTAGAATATTTTTCAAATGTATATTGACAATGGTGCTGTTTATCAATACATTATAAAGAATAAGATGATTATTGAAATGTTTAGTGACTTCAGGGTCATGATAACTCTTCGCTATTGCAAAGTTGATTGATAAGACTATGTCCAATGTGATTTTCTTCGCACAATATACAACAAGCTAAATAAGGTGGTATGGTTGAATTTTTGTATGTAGTTGTGTGTGCGTAAAGTTTGATAATATTTCCTTTTTGTCTTTCCAGACGATAGACATGGAGAGAGGTACGAATGCAAAAGATGCTTGTCATCAGATAAAATATTGTTTTAGCCAGCAATCTACAAAAGTTCAGATGCCTATTCACAACCGCACTCATCAGAACGGTTAATGGTGTACCACTTGCTCTACTAACAGCCTTCAAAATCCTACGCAATACACCGTAGTCTTTTTTCCAGAGTCCAGGAAAGAATAAGGGAGAACAGTTAGTATAGGCAAACACAGGAATTAATAAAATCTAAGAGTAGAGGCTGAGTTATGCCCTGCAGTCCGAGTTTCCTTATACGAAAGGTCAAGTGAAGGATTTTCCCTGAAATCAGCAAGATCTGTGGGGATCGAAAAAGATTTGAAGAAAAGCATGAGCCGAGATGGATCACGCTTGGTTCATTCTCCACAATAGAGCCATATACTAAGCAGAAGTTATGGGACTGAAGCAGTTTATATGGGTCTTGTTCACACCTTAAGCTAAAGGTAAGGGATTGAGTGTGAGGCCATTTAAGAAAGACCAGTTACCAATTTTGGTTAAGAAGTTATCATACTGAGAACAATGATTAACACGGATACTATTAGGTCATCTGCATACTTAAATTAGGCTTTAATTGAGTTGGATAGGTCATACAAAAAGAAAGAAAAGAAAAGGAGAAAGTACAGCACCTTGAGGTACACCGACTTCGCTAAGTAGCGAAGCGCTTACCTCTGTATTGAGTGTACTGTCTCAGAATACTATGAATCAATACAGTTTGCGATCTAGGACTCAGTGTGAGTTCTGACAAGCTTATTTAATAAAAGGGGTATAGGGACAGAATCAGAGGCAGAAGTATAATCTAGGAGGCCAGACCTGACTTTTTGTCCAGACTAGCAATGATCTTATGATGTTAAACAACTACAGCATCCAAAGTACTCCTGGGTTTGTAGGAGAATTGATTCGAATCTCTGAACGCCTGCAAAGGAGATTCAAACACACAAAGCAACAGTTTTTTCATTGTTTTTAAAGCTGATGAGGTAATTTCGATCGGTCTGAATTTCACTTTTGCTCCAGAAGATATGAACTTGAGTACCGGAACTATTTTAATTCCCTTCCAGGCGTTTGGTACGTTATTTCTGGTAAAGGACTCAATAAAAAAATGTTTGTGAGTGGATGAGATGACAGAATATCAGCACATTCTGCAAAAACAATACCTGGCATAGCATCTCTCCCAAGGCCTTGCGCAGCACTTTATGATTTGAACATTTGAACCCATCTGTTTCATTGAATTTAAGAAAATTGCCTTCTGTTGTGTGTGGAGGACTAGATAAAATAACACTGGGTGTGGGCTTACGTATGAATCACTCGTTTAGTGCACAGATGTTTTCTCAAGTTTCATTTCTGTGTTTTCTCTTTCCAGTAAGGCCATTAAAAAGTCTCCATATACTAGAAAGGTTTTTACATGATATAATCTTCTAGTTATACATTAAGTTTAAGCGTTTTATTTCAGACTTAATCAGGTAGTTAAGTTGTCTAACACCAAATTATCCTTCTATTTGTACAGTTTTTTTTTGAATTGTGGAGTAGAAAGTCTATCAAACCTTGGAAAAATTATTTCAGCTAGGGAGCAAATATCAAAGCAAAACTTAAGATTGCATGTAACAGCATCGATTGTGTCAGCCAGAGCATATTTTTCAAGTATTTCCCATTCTGTGTTCTGTAACATGCATCTGAGTATGTATATTGTCATAGGTAAAGCTCTTGTGTATAGTTTTCTTAGATTGGTATTTAAAAGCATTTTTCTGCACTTTGCCCCATATTTTTGACAGAATATGTGTATGGTGCAGTGATCTGGGCTCAGCAGTGGTACACGTTTCCGAGTTTCAAAATGAGTTGAACTACTGAATAGGTTACTGTGACCAAGAGAATACAGGACGCTTCCGTCATATGAGTTAAAATCACACCAGACAATAGGCAAAGAACCTCATGTTATTGAAGCACTGAATTCCGTGAATTTGTCAGCGAATCTAGATAATTCAGAATAGTTGCAACCAGGAGTCACGTAAATGTTGGTTATGTAAATTCATTCAGATTTATCTAAATGATTGAGACGACACAGTGATATATATTGTCATTAGAATCGGCAAAATATGCATAATTTGATGAACACCACTGAGTGTTGATAAAGGTAGCTACACCTTCACCACACTTTTTCATAGAGCTACAACGATCTTGGTGAAACAATTAAAAACCATTTGAAGAGACTAGGTTATGCAATCAACTTTCTTGTAATGTTGTTACACCAGGACTGCGATAAAAGAATAGAGGAGGCGTTGTAAATAGTCTACCTTACCCAGTAGAAACTTGCGGTTCGAGCTGAACATTTCGGGTAATGTCATTTGATGTAGTTCTGTTCGCTTTAAAGCGCGCTGCCATCCACCATGATGTCGTCTCTTAATTACATTCATCAAATTCATAGCGATAGGTTGGATAACTTTTCAAAAGTTCACGCGAGCATTCGACACAATTTTAGTTCATATTTAGACGAATTAAAACAGAGTAAACTTGATGCAATGTGTATAGTGGAAGGATTTAGTAGCCTAGGGTTCAAGTAGGCTGCACTTTTTTAACGCCATGGTCATTCCTCTATCTTTTTCCAAGGCCTACTGCTCATTGGTTGAAACGTGCATTTAACATTTTTGTGATTATAACTGCACAAGATCATATCCCATGCGTACATACATGTGTTTCAGGTTATTATTAGTCTTCTCTGAAGCGGTAAAGTTCTCATTCAGACCAGTTTTCTTTCTGATTGCGTTTCGCCTGGAGTGTTGAAGTCAATGCTGTCTGGTATACCAATTAGCTCTTAGTTACAAGCGTGGGTACTGTCCAAATAAACAGAAGTATAACACTAGTACTCCGTCATTTTTAATAATTTTCTGGTTGATGTCAGTTCCCGGTGATAGCAGTCAATTCCCTGCAAACTTTCAAATCGATTCTATTTATCAGGGTTTGTAAAAGGTTAATCTAATGCACTTTTGATGATTGATTCAAGGATATAGACATTTCATAGTGTTTCTGATAATATGAGTGAGTGAACCTCGCGCACAAGTGTATTGATTCTAGTTGCAACACTTCACAGTAGTATACAAGGACTACATGGATAGAAAAGAAGTGATATCAAAGTGGATAAAGTAGAGCAATAGAATAAGAAAAATCTGGAGATAAAGATAAATGTGAATATTCAGGCTTTAAAAGATGTTAGGGAGTGAATACATCTGTACTTTTGTGACAGATTCTCAGCCATATCACCAAGAGTTTTTAACCGCTGATTTCTATGGTCTCGGGGACCCCAATCAGGTAGTTTAAATCTTCTCACACGACTCAGACTAACAGTCAGGGATTTCATGAGTGGTGCTAGGTCTTGATCTGGCTCCTAATAACATTAGGGATTATAATTCATGAAATTGAACCCTATTGCACCTACTTCGGTTTGGTAATCGGCTAGTAGCATAAGCCCTTGAATATTATATATGACTTATAACGTTGTACGTAAACTTGTGCTAGCTTACTGAGTGACATATTATTTGTGTAACTTGCAGAGACCGAATTTCAGTGTCCGTTAGTGGTGTAAATTAGCACCATCAAAAAACTCGAATTTTCTATTGCTTTCTACAGGAACTTCGTATGCGGTAGATGTAGAGTGTTTCGCTAATCAGTGCTAAGGCTTTTGAACAGAATAATAATGACCTAAGTAGACAGAGTTCTCTGCTTATTGACACCGTAAACAACTTTAATATCAGGTTAAAAAAAGAATCTCTATTTCAGCCGAAGTATAACAATATAATCTAATAAAAGATAAACAACAACAGAAGAGTTATTGATAAAATTACCCAGTTATCAAATGAATCGATTAACTGTGTATATGAAGATATGTGAATTACGTCTATCCAACTCGTTTCAGTAATAATTGACTTGACAGTGGCTAGCAGTGAGATCCAGGACGCGTATCTCATCCTATTTAGGACTCAGCTGAATACACCTGCCTCCCAGGGAGTGATATTGTTCCCACTGAAGACTCGAACCCCGTGTGCATCGCTTCAAATCCCAAAGCGATATCGGCCAGTCTATGATTAATACCAACGTGAAAAATCTCTAAATCCCCACAGTCCTCCAAATTCAACTGAACTAGTGCTCATTGGCAACTAGCTTCAAGAGGTGATCCTCAAAGTTCCAATGAAAAGTCGTGACCAGTGGGGGTAACCTGGTGGGCGTGACGACAACTACTCAAAGATGACATTGGGTGGCGGTCGGGCTATGTCGTGAACTGACAGAAGTTGGAAATATGGACCATTGGATCTCGACTCAGTGGCTCAATGGTAACGTGCTGGTCACGGAACCTGAAGGTCGTGGGTTCAACCCCTAGTGGGGTAGTGGGTGCGCACTGCCAAAGAGTTCCATACTAAGACGAAACATCCGCCCAGTGCTCTCGGGTTTCCAGTGTTCATCCAACTGGTGTCAGTCCATAATGGATATCAACTTGAAGATATCCACTAGGCCACTAAGGCACGAAATCCACCCAGTGTTTAATGAGTATTAGTTATTATACTTTGTTGGTACTTTTAATTCTTCGTTGTTGTACTGGATTGAATTGATTGACCTCTATTGACAGATGCATTCCTACGCGGAAGCCTTGACGCTACCTGAATATATACTGATGTAATTGACTTGGTAACGTTTAAAGTTATACGCGTAAAAATATATGCAGCATTCTCTTCCAAACACTGGGCATTTGGTTATATGTTATCTGTTAATATGTGCAACGCCTATGTATATATCACGTTAATAGTGTAAAGATAAATGATAGGTTAACGGAAATTTTCCACTATAGGTCGGCTTTAATATTGGATACTAGTTTTGCACGACTCTGAAATTTAAATATTCCCATTGACAACGTCCACTTTTAGCGGATATATTTATGACCAAACTGGAAACAACCATGTTCTATCTAATTATCACAATCAAGAATACCATCCGCCTACGTAGTGTTAAAAAGAGGAGATGATGGGACTCTCAGAATATCCATTTATCCAAAAACCTATGTAGACAAATGATAAACTTTAACAGCCGAGCTCCCATCTGTTAAAAAAGCAATTCGATCTATTCTCTTTCTCCTTGAATCTTAAAGATTTGTGCTTCCAACACTTTACAAGACGCAAAGGGATACTCGGAAAGATTCATACATGGAAATATACATCGGATTACTACCCATCAACCTCTTATCAATGTAGAGAAGAAAAAGCTAATTTTGAGCTTAAGCTCAGACTAATGAAAACTGTTAAAAGAATATTCTATGCAGCCACTTATCCACTTATACTAGTCACCCAATAGTGAACATATCTACGAAGAATAAACTATCAGTGCTAACCACTTTATTGTGCATATATCAATTCACTTACTCTTGTGGAGCTATTAACAATTACTCATTAACAAATATGTCCACTGACTATATCTAGATGCGATTGTACATTTACAGAGGATGATATCGCAGAAAACAGATTTATTTGCTAAAGGTTTTATTCTTTTAATGACTAACTCCGAAATTCTTCAGCTGTGTGTGTGTGTGTGTGTGTGTGTGTGTGTGTGTGTGTGTGTGTGTGTGTGTGACTTAACTCAGGACAATCATATAGTCTCTTGAGTATTAATTAGAGTACAGAAATCTTTAGCTATTGCTGATTTGCTTTCTTTTTTCTTTTGATACTTTCTTTAAATTTTTTCTCTCTTTAGGCGTTGATTGATCGACCTGACTTTATTGAATCAGCAAACCGAATATGTACAAAATATGATACTAATATACTTATTTGTATTACTGTTGGTTATCCGTCATTAGGGAATTCATCTACACCTTTATCTGAAACGACAACTTTCCGAAGAAGAGCTGTGATTGTGTATAGTATGAATGCTCCTGTACCGTATTATAATGCTGTAAGTTTCCTCATTAATCAAGTATCTTTTTAACAAAGTCTTTAAGGATGTGTGTGTGTGTGTGTGTGTGTGCGTCTGATGCGATTTATCTTAAGCTACCTGTTGATTTCGTTGAAAGGCTTATCTTTAATAGACGACATATACACCTGTGCATTATAAAATTATCTTTAAGAGTTCTTAAGCGTACATCTGTATCGCATATATGTTAGCCAACTCATATGTAATTGGTTGGAAATAATATCTTCCAGCAAATAAGATCTGAATTCCAATCTCTAAGTTCTTGATCTTGAAAATATTTTCTACTTTTTGTGAAGATCTTGTTATTTCTCACTCTCATAGGTTTTGTTAATTTTCTGCTGGTATTACCGATTTCATCATCTAACTATTTTTTCGTACTTCACTTTGTTTCTTTCATCAGACATTTGACAGCAGAGGTATAAATATCACATAAATCTGTTTATCTTTTTGATTAAGGATTGTTAATTGATAAGAAAACTTTGTAAGCTTTCCATCATGTAGGGTAAATTAATGAATTACTCATCATCTGGGAAATTAACATTCATTTTTTGAAGGAAATCTTGTTAAATCACTCCGTTCTCTGGTTGGTTGAATATCTACCAGCTGTTACTTACACGTCATATAGTGTAGGACTAATACTGATTTACAACTTTTCATCGATAACCACTTTCTCAATTTCACTTCAACCACCGTTAACACCTAATGTTATTAAGTCGATGAAACTAGTTCTCATACAAGCATCTTATCTGATGATGGCAAATACGAAAGATAGAATCAACATAAGACATTACACACAAATACATCGGTTCAAGTTATCATAGTAGTATGCATACAACTAGTGGATAGTAAAAGACTGATATCAAAGTAGACAGAGGTCTGTGAGAAGAGAAAGAATGTTAAAGTAAATATTCAAACTTAAGATGTTAAGGAGTGAATACATCTACACCATTGTAACCAGTTTTTATCCATTTCATCAAGAGTCCTCAACCACTGATTCCTTTCGTCTCGGGGAACCCTAGCCAGGCGGTTCACATCTCTCCACAAAAGTCAAGGACTTCATCGACTGGTCCCACGTCTTGGTCTGACTACCCTGAACCATTTTCTAACCACATCCTTCTTCTCCTGGCATATCACATCGAGGTAGGTGGTGACTCAGCATGCGCAGTACATGTCCAAGCCGTTTCAGTCGACTAAGGTTTACAACCTCATCAATCGAAGTATCCGTCTTGCATGATGCCCTTCGTCTGATCTCAACATTGTTAACAGGGTGATTCCACCACACGTGAGCAATCCTATGAAGACACCTATGATCGAGGCCTTGTAACTAATTCATACCTACTACTTTAGACGGCCATGTCTTACAGCTGTATAACATGACACGAGGAACTACAGTCTAGCATTCTCATCCATTGGTAGATATTGGAATATCTCGTTGGCACCAGAGATGGCGATGAATCGTTCACAGTCCAATAACGGCACTGCGATTGCATGATTTTCTTTTGTCCTACACTATAAGTTCTTCTCATTATGTTCACTCTTCACCTTTGTACATATGATAAGTTTTTCGGGTGTTTATCTACTCATGACCGGTTGATAGCTCAGGATTGTTAAGTTGTAGTATACGTATATGAAAATTATGATTTGTTAAACTTACTGAGATCACCTTTACTACAAATGCTACTAAATAATTGTGTTTTTAGACGCTTACAAAAGAGATTTTAATTCCGATTTTTGCAGTTTATTTTCTACCTGTTAATTATTTTTATTTATTTATTTGTTTTCCTTTGTTTACAGTTAGTTGAATTTTTCCTTGATCCAAAGCACAATCTAGATTTAAACCCTCAATCCATACCTGGATTTAACCATTTTATAGCAGTTGTGAATAATGTTAAAATTACGCGCAAAACTATACTACCTTTGTTGGTTCAGTTTCTTCAGCATTCAGAATCACTTGGAAACACTGATGCTTCAGATTACAATGATAAAAATGATGTGAATAATGATGATAACAAAAATACTAACTGTATAGAAGATTTTAGCCAAAATTCTATCACTCCCCAAGAAAATACTGAGAATTCGCATTCATCTGATACAAATCTGAAGGTGGGTTTTGATTTTTAGGTAACCAGATAAACAAGCGTTACTTGATCATTTTCATGGAAAAAAACAAATCAAAGAAGTTCATCACATTTGTGTTATTACTCAAATAACTGACTGTCTCTTCATTTTTTTTTACTTATTGTATGACAGAGATATTTAATAATTAGAAGAAAGCATTATTTCTTGATAAGTTTATTTTTTCTGTTGCCTTATAAAGGGGCTTGACTGTTAACATTGAACTTTTCACTTCGAGAAGCATGTGTATTTGGATGTGTTGATGACCTTGTGTATGATGTAGCGAAAGTAACATAAAAAAATCATCCTATCAACCAATAGGTCATGGGTCGGAACCCCACTCAACCTACCGAGGTTTAGGCAGCTAGCAGGTACCACTAACCCAGCTCATTGCTTACTGTATGCATGTGCATAAGGCGGCTGAGTGCGTTTCATTCGTTATGAAGCATAACTGTTCTGCTTAGTTCCAGAATTTAGAGTAGCCACTGGAAACTAAGTGAACTAGGCATATGAGTTAATTCAGTAGACCATTCATTAACAACAACCGGATAAATTAAAAAGACTAGACTGTACCTAAATGAACACTTCATGTTTTTAAAACAATTAGTTCTCTTTATAAACTTCGACAAAACAATAAGAAGACATAAATTGTCTGAACCGTGTAATGTATTTGCGCAACACATTTCGAAGTATCTGATCACACACGTAGTTGTCACAGGTATTTATATAAAAACTCTTGAAGATAAGGGGTGAGAAAATAAAAAGCGGTCAGTAGAAAGGCTAAATTAAAGGCCGACTAACAATGAAAATCAATAGAGCGAAAAAATAATAGTACATCGAACTTGGTTTTCAATAGTTGAATTTACCAAGGAAGATTTAATGTGACAACAAATTGTTTATGAACACATAAAGGTGGTTTCAACTTTCTAATAGCTAAGGCCTTTAACAAATTTAAGGATCCCTCCCCAATATGTTTTGGAAATAGGTGTAAAGGAAGTAGCCATATCAATCCTGTGGCCTGTCTCAACGATATGTTTAGCGATCGATTAACTTGGACGTCTTCTACCAACATTTATAGGTTCAGGTGATTTAATTTGCTTCTGAAGCCACTTTGGAATATGTTCGGAGGCCCTTACTTGCATGGATCTATTAGTCCTCCCTATGTATGTGTCACCACACGTACATTTGAATTGGTAGATACAATAGGGTTTGGGGGAATATACGGGCTTCATGGTTTCGATTACTCGAACTCTGGCTGCATAGTGAGTCCTTCTAACAGCCACGTTAAGTCTCTGCTTAAGGATTGCACTATGACTACTTCATGTTTTCCTAACTATCTGCCTAATTATCTCAACCCTATCAGTGTGCATTAATCCAAAAAGATGATGTAATCCTTATTGATCTTGCTGAATATTCCCGGTTTCCACCTTGATCTATAAATTATCAGAAACCTTCCTTAAAGCATTGTTTGTTTCAGTAAAATACATCTTTTTATAAAATTATTCGTCTTATATCGGTTTTTGTTATGCTAATTTGGTAAACTGATGAAATAGTTTGAGGCCACTAGCTATCAACAAAAAGTAACTGGAAGGAGTTAAGCGAAAAACTGTTTTAGTACAGGTCATGCCTGAAGTAATCCGAAGTTAAATCTCGGTTATTTTGATGTTGTGTACATGTTAAAATATCAAGTTCACAAAACTTTATTTGTGTAAATTGTTTCTCATGTGATGATCGTAAGCAACACTATAAACTAAACTAAAATTTTAGTTTTAATTCCCCAACGTTAGCTGCCACCTTGATGTGATGGTCAAGCTTGGATATTCCAGTGATCAGAAGGCTATGGTGAAAACATTTGTCCTGTAAGGTCTTACCATATCAAAAGGGATGATGGATAATCGTAGAATGAAATTAATAACTGTTATAGAATAAATAGTTACGCTATCATGGGGACTCGAGGGCGAAGTCATACTGTTGGCCGAATGCATGCGTGACGACTTTAAGGTGTTTTTCTTGAATGGACAGCAGTCCATAATGATACCATCCCCTACGAGAGGGATTAGGGTATTAGAAAGCATCGACCCCTAAAAGCGCACTCCTCTTTAACCTGTGGTATTCCAATGCCGGTGGTGTGGGTTTTCTTTTAGCTGGATTCAGGACAGTCAAAGTTAAATCTCAAATCCCGAGAAGGTCATATGTTGTAACCGACCTCAAACAAGCTTCCATTATGCTCTGAAGTCACACATCACTACTACTAGTATAATTACTTTTTCAGATATCTCAAGAAAAAGTAACCTCTCACAATGTGCACAGCTGGGGAGTGTCAACCGCCCTCACAACACTGTCAGCACTCAGGTTTGTTCAGGTTATTATCAGTTTTCAAAATCTTTGCCTTGTAATCTTTCGTAACATCTCTCGGTCATCTTTAATTTCTTCCAGTTCTACGGCTCTCGATAGCGATTCGATTTCACGAACTAGTATCCGAACTAAATATTGGAGCTTTCAAATCTTCAAATCGGAAATTAATCCTTAGCTGAAACTCTAGCATATGAGAGCATTTACATGTACTGTGTTTAAGAGACATGCACTCAGGACCCGTGTGCGGGTTATTCGGTTCTCCGCACCGCAAAATTCATCCTTCGAGTTTTTGGTGATTCGATGAGTAACTCTCGCAGTCTTGCGAGTTTTGGTATAATATTAAGTCCCTAGGTAGAAAGTACACTGGTGGACTGGATCTCAGTTGACAGTCGCCTATGCACTGTTCGACTGAATAGTGCAGGTAGGACTAAAAGAATAGCGGTTTTTTTGATTATCTTTTTGTCTCTGCTTGCTAATTGGCTACAATCCGGATAAAATGAGGGATGAGTTCTACTGAAAACTGTCTAACCTCTTACTGAAAGTCACATATTCATATTTGGTTGTCATAGCAGATAATTTTAATTCACAAGTGGGTAGGCTATACCAGGCAGAAAGCACTTGTGAAAATTGAGATTGTAAGTAGTCTGAAACAAAGAAGAACCGCAGCCCAAGATGATCTAGCACTCAAGATATTTCAGTACGGTGATCAAGTATTATTGGTGAGATTAACTTAATTTTTAGTTTGTAGGAATGAGGTATAGTCCCTTTTGACCAACCTCGATCATTGATAGTTCCAGTCTTCAAGAATGTAGAGAGATCCTCCCGTCATAACCACAAGATAATCATCCTGACAAACATTGTATCTAAAATGTTGGGTTTTACAAGTGTTATTTTTGTAGATGAAGTTCGGGAACATCGAACCCGAGAAATCCATGCACATTTCAGATCTGGCGGTGGATGTAGCTACCAAATCTTCATCTCCCCCTGGGTCTTAGAATATAGATTACTCACGGATGCCAAATTTAATATGACTTGAAGGCGGCATTCCGTTGTCGACGAAGCGGTCTTAAGGCAATTTCTCTCATTGAAAGGTGTGCCGAGTAAGTACACGACTCTGTTAGAGACTATTCGACCACCCTTCGGGGTATTAGAACCCATGATGGAGTGCCAGGCTAACTGTCTACGTCAAGGAAGTCCATTCTTATTTAGTATTGTCATGGACATGTTTTTGGAGGTCTCCCTCTCCTCATCTAATTTTATGAGGATTGACCCTGCCACAAAAGACTGGTTAGCTTAGATTACGCAGATGACAGTACTGTTAGACGAAGATGGAGAGTCTTCTGGAGTGATTGAGCTCACTAATCACTTCACTTACTCGGATCAGCCCTAGTGGGTTGGTGATTGACAATATCTTTGCACGGATACACAAGGCTTGAGTGGCTTGCACTACTTATGGTGCCGACGTGATATCCGATTACCCACTAACGGCTGAGTTTACTGCAGTTCGTTCTGTTTTACTATATGGTTATGAAACATGGTCATTGAAGGTCACGACCCCACAAGATCTCTTCACTCTCTGTTATGCAGGCCGAAAGATGCAGTAGCAAATGAAGATATAATAAACGTTATCTACAAAATAAGCTGCGGAAACTGTGAAAAACACTGCATCGGTCAGAGTGGTCATCCTCTTCGTATCTGTCTACATGAATGTCAACTAGCAATGAAGCGTCATGACATACCTTCGCTCATATCAATGCATACAGACAGCTATGAACGTGAATTTGACTGGGAAAGTGTGGAAATCCTGGATAACGGAGATACATAGAATGTCACAGAATTTTTAGACGCTTGGTATCCATGTCAGCGATCAACAGACATAGTGACAATCTATCAGCCAACTAGAAGCAGCAAGAAAGTCAAAGTTGACGTCAGCGAAACAGCCAATCGAAATGAATATGGAGACGATGATTAGACTTTGGGAGAAACAACCAATCACCCACAACTCCATTAGGACAAGCGTCTAGGTCACTTGTGGAGAAAACCATATAACTCATTTCTTTCTGATGATGATGGAGTGACAATGAAAACTTCACGATTAGACCATCCAGGTCAGAGAAAACAAGGTCATCCAAATCATCCTCATAATATACAAATTTTCTCCATCACCTCAGCATCAGTAGCCCTCACATAATAGGTGTGTTTCATTGCCTACAGCGCGAATGTGCACAAGGTTGCTGAGTGCATTTCAACTCGAATATTGGTCTTCTGGCATTGTTAGTTGAATATATATTCATTTAATTTATGCGATTTCAACCCCTTCAAATATAATTGAATACTGTTCGGAACAATTAGTTCTTCTTATGAATTTGGATAACGTAATTAGAAGACAGTTTATGTGAAAAATATTATGTATTTATGCCATGCATTTCGAACAGTCTGATTACGCATTTACCTGTTAAGGAATTGTATATGAAAACTGGAAGCAAGGGAAGGACAAATATGACACTAAAGAATGTAGTAATATGAAAGGTAATGAACAGTGAATGATGAGGTTTGAAGACAACTTTGGCTATACAATAAGATAGATATTATTAGGTAGGTTTAGCGTAAGGACAGACCATTTTCGAACACACAACGGAGGCTTAAATTTCTGTATGGTTAGGGTTTCAACGAACCTAAGTGTACACTCCTAACAGCTATACAAAATTATAAAGGCTGTTTTAATATCAATCAGGTGACCTTGATCAATGGTATGTTTTGCAATGGATTATGCTAATGATGGTTGTCGACCACCTGAGCTTATTGATGTTTGCGAATCCAGATAACTTTTGTATTCATTTTGGTGCTTGTTCCTTCATCCTTAGATGCGTATCTCGATTATTTTAACACTATTTATTAAACATATATATATATATATATATATATATATATATATATATATATATATATATATGTTAGAGAGAGGGTGCTTTCTAACGTGAAATAGTTCAAATTTAAAAATGATTCGTTTGCAGCTTATTATGTAAATGTGACTGTGTCGAACCTCTCAACCTTTGTTAGCAGATAGTCTGCTATACGGAGGCCTCGTCATTGCTTACCACCTCACTATTTCATAGGTTATTTAGAAACTAACAGTTGGATCCATGATGCTTTACTTATTGTTATCATATATACCGAAATGCGCCAACAAATTTATTCAATAAGGAAAGAAATTTAGAACCATCTCAAGTAAGATGATAGGGATCACATTCCTTAACGTATCCTTTTTTCCACTTATCGATTTCTGGTACTACTGTATCTAATACTTTTGAACTGTTAGTGCTTTTTTCATTCTACCATATACTGTTCAAGATCACCGAATGTTTATTTTCAAATTTATATATTTTACGATGCTTCCTTTGTGTTTTTTAGTTAGAGGGGTTCAATAAACACAGCTGTATAGTTTGAAAGTCAACTGTTGTCAATAACTAAATCGTTTGAAAGTTTGAAGTTCGATAGCTTTCAAATAAGTTTTTATCTGTTTTGAAGCAGATATCCATCTTGGAGTTAGATAATTTCACTACATTGCTCTTCGAACTTAGATGAATAACAATTGCTGTACACTGTAACACACTACTCAAGTGTGCAGAAACTCAAAAAGATTGACTAGAGAATCATTGGAAGCCTGGGAGCACTAGACAGTTGTTTCATCCTAGTATAAAACTCCTCGGTAGTGCGCTCCTATGATCCTCCCAGGGTCCGAATCCAGCGGCTAAATAGTAACGTGCTGACGGCGAGACCTGATGGTCCTGAGTTCATCCCTTTGTGGGGTCATGGGTGTGCAATTCTGAAGAGTTCCGTACTAAGACGAAACGGCTATGGAGTACTCCCAGGTTTCCAATGCTTCCCCCAGCTGATGTCAGTCCGTGGTGAGTATCTACCTGAGGTCAATAAATGAATCTCCGCAAACCTCAAAATAAAAAAGCTAAGTTGCAAAAAATCAAGTAACAGTAATGATCAAATTTTAGTTTGATAATACAAAAGTACACGCTTTAAGTAAGTTGTATGGATCGTATATCCACTTACTATTCTTTGTAAATTTTCAGTGTTCACTCAAAGCAGAAGATACGATAAAAGACACAACTGAATTGGTCTCAAAGGCAGTTGTTCTATCCTTAAGGAATTGGCTTCTTCCTTTACGTCCTAGAGAACGGTGTGAATTTTTAAGGTCTTGTCGACAAAGCTCTCTTAAACAAGATAATAGTCCATCATTGGATCTACTGGACAATTTATGGACAAGTCTTTGGCGAGAAATCAGCAACACCTCTCATACTATCAAGTCTGCTGTGGGTACACAAACACCGATACCTAAACTAATGTGGTTGAAATCACGTCAAACTAGACGTGTTGCAAGTATGATTCACGGTCATAATTTAACCTCAAAGGCAGTAAGTTATGTCTAATGTTGTTACTTGTATTATTCCATCGTTGATTGAACTCTATTGGGAGCAAAATCGCTCACTGGGAGGCGGGCACATCCAGCTGATGAGTTCCAGATAGGACGAAACATAGCTAATTATTATTATTATTTATCCCTTAAGTTCCTAGTGGAACATAAGGCTTTAGTTGCACGTCTCCATTTTACTCTGTTCTCCACAGTCTTTTCAACCTGGCTTCATGACGGCCCAGAAACCATCATTTCTTCCTCACACCATCTCAATATCACACTCGCCCCGGATGACCAAGTCGTCGTTTCCTATTTGGATTCCACTTGATGGCCTGGCCTGGCCTGGCCTAGTACATGATATCTCCGAATGGTCTTCTCACTGTATGTCCAATCCAATCCATCTCCACTTACTTCTGCATATTTATTGGGCGATAGGTTCTTGGTTGGTTCGTTCACAGTGTTCCTTTTTTCTTGTTCTTATTATTCTGGCCATCTATCTGATCCTCAGTGTCAGTATCGAGTGAGTGCAGGTGGCAGCTGTTGATGCATGTCTGCACTTTGTTGGAAGTGCTTTGCATAACGCGCCACCAAGTCTCTCAACTATCAAATAAAAGCACTGACTTGACTGATATTAGTATTGAAAATTCGGATCTTGTTTACGCTTTGTGCTGAGTGCAGTGCAGTGTAATAGATCTCCACACTCATTTCAGATTGGTGAAGGCCTATGTTGCTGTCTTTCTGATCCTGGCTGCTTTGACATCCTCATCTGTGCCGCTACCTGTGGTTGAATCGATGCTGCCTTGCCTGGGTAGGTGAAAGAGACTGCTTCCTTTAGGTTTACCCGGTTGATGGTGATTGATGCTTGTTGTTGGTTGGGTAGCTTCATGACCTCTGTCTTCTCTACGTTCACCTGAAGGGAGTCTCATCTTCCTTCGCTGCCTCTTCTGTCAACCTGTTAGTTTTTACCTGTAGATCTTCGAGTTTGTGCGACATTAGACATCCAAATCTTCCAGGCTCTTCTCATCGGTGTGGCCAGCGTATGCCCATCTTCTTGCTCCTCACAGTTTGCTGCGTGGTCCAGCCGACTACAGTTAGGAAGATCATCGGTGACCTCAGCATTACCGAGGGTGAATAAAGTCTACTCTTTACAAACCTCATTCATATTTTTGATAAAAGAAGTCTTGTTCACTGTCTTCGAATAGCAGGAGTTTTCTGTCAAAAGTGATAGCCGACATGTGATACTGGGCTTTGGGCCAGTGGATATGTAGGGATCACTAAGTCAATTGGGAAAACTGCGATTCCAGACTTGTGGTACTCCTTAAATTCATGATATCAAAGTAATACCGTACCAACCTGATGTTATCTGGACACTGGCAACTACTAGGGCACAACCGAGAGAGCTCTAGTTTGTATATTCAGCCTAAAGTCAAATACTCGGTGTACGATCTCTTAAGACAGCTAGTTACATCAGTGTGCAAATCTGATTATTCTCTTAGTCCTTATATGAATGATGATTTAAGACACTTCAGTGATGAAATTTAAGCACATTATTAACACTCTCAACACTTATCAAGTGTGCCATATTTTACACTATTTTAGTCTTTGACTCATTTTCGTGTTGTTGTTGTGATATTGACATATAGACTATATTCTTCTGGGGACTGTGGTTCATTGGTTTATACAGTTGACTTCGAACCAATGTGTTACCGGTTCCAATACTGTTCCACCTATTGAGGTTTAGGCAGCCAGATAGTATGACTAGGCTTCGCACAACAGGTGTGGCTCATTGCCTGCTGCATGAATGTTCACAAGATTGCTGAATGGATTTCTTTTTTTATTCGACTTTGTTTTAGTTTTCCGTGTGTGTAGCTATTTCACTCAGCTACTTATCATCGATTGAAGTTTTTTTACAATTTTAACTCTGTAGACAAATGTTTCTATAAGCCTATCCTTCTCTCACTGTGTATTTGACTAATTTTAGGCATTGATAATTCAACAAGGTTATCATTTTAAACAGTTTGGTGTAAGAAAATATCCGAATTTTCCTAAGATTGACAAATGTTTGAACAAGTTTTACTCATACTTTCCTAGAAACTTCCTCAGAATAGTCATTACTTGTTACTATCAGAAATAATTTGGAAGATACACGGAGATGGCCAACTTATAAAACAGCGTTATTGGACGTTAGATAGTTGGTTTCGGTCAGCATATGCTGGTGCACTGTGACTCGTGTGAAATCCATGAGATTTTAATAGTCTTAAACAGTTTTGAAGTGTGACATTACTTCACATGATTCACTTCTTATTACTTTTATCAGATTTGGATAGAAGTGAATGGTGAATAAAAATCTTTCGATATCCAGGTTACTGAAATGAAATCCTTTGATAAACTGTTAGTCAGTGCATTAATATCAACTTGCCACCTGACATTACCACCTAACAATCCAAGTTGCAGCGTCTCACATCGTTAAGTTACGTAGTAGTAAGATGAAAGTCTAAGTAGAAGCTAAATAATCAAAAGTTGTCGGAAATCACAAGACGAATCGAAAAGAGGTAAAGACAAATAATGAGATACGATACAACAGTTATGAACTGATCTCACGGTTTAATCTGGTTACTATAAGCTTTTTTCTAATCTAACATTAGTGCAACTAACATCACACATCGGGAAAAATGATAATTAGGTATGTCTAACAAGTGTCCCAGACACCTTAGTGGATAGATGTTTACAACTTGATTACATGACTTGTCTCTTTACCGAAAACTCAACACCTAACCCCTGTGGGTATTCTACAACATTTAGTCAATGATGACAAGGTCACGATAGTCAGATATCTGGAGCATTCTTTATTTAGTTATAGTGTATTTTACCTATTTGGTACATGCTTTTGTTAGGCTTCGAGTCACATAATTTGTGAGAATTGATGGTACTACCAGCTGTTCTTGCCGATTTTGGTGCAGTCAGATTTAAGCCTTGGACTTATTTTTTAAAGTTTAGTACCATACCTTCACACATAAATTGTTTACAAAAATCATGATCCTATCGACAGTGAATCACAAACTGGATTACTGTTGATTGAATTACAGTGTTATGTTGAAGCTCTTATCTACAATCTAAAGTCTACTAAAAAAAACACAGTGATTTGTCAGTTACCACATAGGTAGTTCTAGAAATTCCTGTTGGCTTCCTTTTTGTCCATCTCCTGCATAGTTGCTTTACCGTATCGCCACTGTGAGGTTTTTCGTAGTAGGGATTATGATAAACAGACAGACAGACAAAAACAATATAAAGTTGTGTGACAGAATAAACACTGTGAGGATAACGGTTGATGCAAATATTTAGTTTTTAGGTGTCAAGGTGTGAACAGATCTGTGTTGTTGTGACTAATTTTCAACCATGGCACCAAGTATCCTCAACTACTGATTCCTATAGTCTCAGGGACTCCAACCACGTATTCTACATCTCCCTACATGACCCAAACCAACAGTCAGGGACTTAATGGACTGATGCCACTTGCTGGTCTGACAACTCTAAACCCTCTTACAACCTAATCCAACTTCCCTTAGTATGGCACGTCGAGGTAGGCAGTAGCTCAGCATGTGCAGTATATGTCCAAGCCACTTCAGTCAAGCTGATCAATCGAATTACTTGTCTTGCGTAGTACCATTCACCTTACCTGAACATTGCTCACTATGTGAGCAGTACGACACCTCTGCTTAAAACTCTACAGCCGCTTCATATCTCCTACTTTTAACAGCCATGACTCACAGCCGTATGACGGAACAACATAGACTGCAGTGCAGTGTACTCATCTTTTGATAGATGATTGGATATCTCGACAGTTGGCACCAAAGACGATACAAGTTGTCGAGTGCTAAACGGGCTTCTGTATCCGAGCTGAGATTTCGTCAGTAACCAACCCATTTGGTGGGCTGATGCAATTCTCTAAGTAAGTGAAATGGTCGATACACCCCAGACTAGTCCTGAAGCATCATGTGGCATCATCATTTGACAGGTGCGGGACGCATGTCAAACATACTCATGCGAGATTATGCGTCACTCATATTTGCTGTTTTCATTCTAATGACCTCCCTAGAGTAGTACACTTAATTTACTAAGAAAACCTACCACTAAACGAAATATCTAATGCAAAGAGAAAGTAAATTATTTATGAGTCAGCTGCTGAATGTATTTTGTTTTCTTCATTATTTTAAGGGTACAGGTAGAATAAGCAATTTCAAATCCTCACGACGTTTCACGTTATCAGATTTTAAGGACCTTATTACACATGATGAAATTCCATCTATAAGAACTGAAATCGATCTACCGCCATCACGTCTTACTCGACACGAATCGGATGAAAATTTAAGTATCTCAGATTCAGAAAATTCAAAACCCAATTGGCTTGAGGTAATACATGTACTAGTTTTTGTATTGTTATCATTATTACTAATTATTTTTTGGATATGTTTTTGGTATTTCAAGAAATTCATAATATAAATCTGCTTATATGTAGATTACTGTCCGAATATTAGATTCCTGTTACAAGATCTGTTCTTTGGTTGATGAATGTCGAATAAGAATTACCGACAACTCACTTCTAAGGTCCACTGTTTCGATGCATTCTCATGTTATGGTTATGATGGATAATGGCTAGCAGTGGTATCCAACATACACGTCTCGTCTTATACGGGACTCATCAGCTGAGTGTTTTCCTCCCAGTGAGCAATATCGTTTCCATGAAAACTAGAACCCACGCAGGTACATCTAGTTGAAGGGTCTCAAATAGGGTGAATCGCACGTCTTGGGTTCCACTATTAGCTACTATCCGTCATTATCATAGCAGTGAAACGATAGGGAATATCGAGATATCCACATAGGAGCCCATATACCAATAGAGATTGATCAATTCGGTCCATCAATGGCGGGATACCACAAGCAACATACTGCTGTATCGTCAGAGTAATACTCACTGGCATAGTTTATCACTTCACTCTTATCTGTTTTTAGTTCTTGGAAAACGTTTACCTCCAGAAAATAACATATTCCTCAGTAGGGTTATTAAATCACAGAATTTACTCAGATGTGCTTAACATGAATAGAACAACGAAATCATCTTTTGTCGATAACTGTTGATAAGTGATCATTGAATCTTTGCTGAAAACTGTTTTCAGTTCCCTGTCTTGGTGACAGAAGCACTTTGGAATGATTTCATTTGCCTAAAATGATGTCTTGCAAAACATAATGGATACAAGCCTTGACAACTTGTCCTTTCTATTCCATATCTGCAAGATACTGACGGACAATTTTGTTATTGTCAACTACTGGGGATGCCTATATCCCTTATATTTCATAATTTACTATTTGTACATTTTGAACTGTTCTTTTTCTCACTCTTTTCTCTGCATGTGTGTTACATTTCATATGGCATGCTTACGTTCTAATTAGCTCCTGCCTCTTGAAAGATACTGATTATTCCTTTCCTTTCAAGGTTACTGTAACCTCTATAAATAGGGTCTGTTTTCACTAATGTTAAAAACTCAACTGATTATCAGTCTTTTGATTTCTCTGTGTGAATCCCTGGAGTGGAACTGTCTCAGACCTCGATATCAGATATCACCTTGCAATAATTTATCTTCTGAATGTCTTACAGTAATTCTAATATATTGGGAAATATTACCATGCAATACGTTTGGGTCATTGCCTTTTTTCGTGCTTGGTATTATTCATCGCCAAGATATGTTTTCAATCTGAAGTTAACCATTACTATTCAGATGAATCAAGAACTGCAGTAATAATGGCTACAGTGAAAAATGATATCATTGAGCCCGGAGATTTTTGGGGATTCATTGGTTTCAAGGTAGTATTCATCAGGGGCTGACTTCAGTTGGATAACTATCGAATACTTAGGAGCACTGAACGACTGTCTTGTTCTAGTATCGGACTTCTCAGCAGTGCACACTCATAAACCTCACCAGGGATCGAACCGAGAACCGTCAGGGCAAGCATGTTAGCATTAAGCCAATGAATCGGAATCCAATGGTCCATATTTTCCTAATTTTATCAATTTGTGATATAGCGCGATCATTGTCCAGTGAAATCGGCTAGCATTTGTCCTTAAGATACTCAGATAGCAACTACACCCTTATGAGTACGCTGATTGTTCTCTAGATGATGAAAGATGTTATGTTTTTTAGCCGTCATAGGTGTTACTGTACCTGTTAACTATGAAACACAGTACTACTCATTCTGTTTGATCGATCTTTCGACGAAGTTCTTCTAGATATCAAAGGAAATCTGTTATTTGTATCGTAGCAGATACAGTAGCTTCTAAACACTCCTGGTGAAACAGAGTGGTGGATATCTAATAATTAGATTTTTTTGAGGGGGTTGTGGAGATTTGGAAATATTTCAAGTTGTTATTCATCGAAGACTGACATCAGTTGGAGGAACAAAGGAAACCTGGGAGCACTGGACAGCTGTTTCGTCCTAGTATGGGACTCCTCAGCAGTGCGCACCCACGACCCCACCAGCAGGGATCGAACCCGCGACCTTCAGGTTCCGCGGCCAGCGCGTTACCATTGAGCCACTGGGTCAGAATCCAATGCTCCATATTTCCAACTTCTGTTAGCTCACGATATAGCGCAAACCGTCACCCAATGTCATCGTTGAGTATTTGTCCTCACGGCCATCAGGCTTTGACTCCACCGGTCACGACTTGTCATTGGAACTTCGGGAATACTTCTCGAAGCTAGTCACCAACGAGCACTAGTTCAATTAAATTTTGAGGGGGTTGTGGAGATTTGGAAATATTTCAAGTTGTTATTCATCGAAGACTGACATCAGTTGGAGGAACAAAGTTCCAATGACAAGTCGTGACCGGTGGAGTCAAAGCCTGATGGCCGTGAGGGCAAATACTCAACGATGACATTGGGTGGCGGTTTGCTCTATATCGTGAGCTAACGTAAGTTGGAAATACGGAGCATTGGATTCTGACCCAGTGGCTCAGTGGTAACGCGCTGGCCGCGGAACCTGAAGGTCGTGGGTTCGATCCCTGCTGGTGGGGTCGTGGGTGCGCACTGCTGAGTCCCATACTAGGACGAAACAGCTGTCCAGTGCTCCCAGGTTTCCTTTGTTCCTCCAACTGATGTCAGTCTTCGATGAATAACAACTTGAAATATCTAATAATTCACAAAACTATATTCTTCTAACTGTCATTCAGTTGTTAGGTGGGCCCAATGGCACAAACGTTATCACATTTCGCTATCTGTTAACTCATTCAACTGTTTTCTTCATTTAAGTTGAATTAATGACATGATACAGGTGACTGTCTCTAAATTCTATTAATGATGTGAAAAAATACAACGAATGAAGTTTGGCTTTAAAAAAACTAATAATTTAGTCACGTAATCATAGAAACAACGAGGATTTTGTTACCGTCCAACTCTATAGATGTGTCCCCTAGGGCGATATAAGTTTAGGATATTTAAGAACAGTGATTTCCTTTGGAGAGAAGGTGTTAGCAACTGTCCAGCTCCGTACAGCTTATGCACTTTCTGCTTGTCATATATTGATCGCACTCACACTAAGCCAGTAGCAGCTATTAATTTTTACAGTACTTCATCTGAAATGTTTTTTGAACTTTACTGTAAGTTATAAGTACCGTTGACTTTGTCACTATTTATTTTCCTTACAGACTGAATATCTGACTGATATTCCTGCTTGGTTACCAGCTAATTTTATTTCAACTTCATTGGATTCTGCTGAGGCAGTAAGTTATCGACTATATCATCGTTTATCCACTATGCCATCATGCAAAACTGTTGAAACTGATCTTCCTCATAATCATTCATCTATGGATCATTGGAGTGATCAAGGGAATTCCATTGTCTTCAACAATAAAGATAATCTTGATGATAATAGACTCGAAGATGATGAATTGGCATTACTGCGAACATCACTCACAGACTTCAGCCCATTATATCTAGACAAACAAACATCAACTTCTGGTTTATTCAGTTACGTCAGTTGGTCTTCTGGTCAAGCAGATTATATTACTGAACAAGGTTTAAAATTTCTCAAATTAGGTTTCCATGCACAGGTTAGTTTACTGCTGTATATTTTCACCCTACTGATAATAATAATAATAATAATAATAATAATTTAAGGACTTCTAATAAATCTTCACAGACAGCACGATGGTCATTAAAAATGTTCTTACTATCTTATTCGAAGGTGAATCCATCTCACTTCCCGATCTCTTCTACATATAGTGGAGCGCCTGCTTAAATATCTGGGCTACTAAATTTTCCAACTGACATATTGCATTACTAGATGCTAGTTGGTAGGAGGCAATCGGTAGGAAGCGCTGGACCTAGGTTTCGTGCTTTTTGGCACTCGTCAACAAGGCGTATCTGCAACCTCGACGGAACTGATGTCCCGTCCGAGATTCAAACCCGCGTCACCCAGTGTTGTAGTCAGCGACTTTACCACTGAGCTACTCGGGCCGCGACTGCATTACATTTTTCTACACGTTTATTCGTTTTTTTCTTGTCCTCTGATCGCATTATATATGCACACACATCTTTAAAAAGTTTATGGCCTGCGATGCCAGTATCAGATAAGATGAGGAAAAAGCATCATAGTGGATGACAATATGCTTTTAAGCGAATAATCTTATCTCAAATGACTCTGCCTGAACTTAAAAGCCCGAACTGCAGGTCACTGTAGGGAAAAGTGAATTACTTACAATCTCTTATATCCTTTAATGTGGATCGTAATACTGGAGTAATTACACTGCAAAAAACTTGATTACATGAACTTTATGGTGACAATTTGGTTCTCTGAATGGTTTTAAAATTTTTCGCCAGGCTCGATGTAGCTCTACTAGGAAAAGTGGAGGCGGTGTAGCTACCTTCATCAATACCCATTGGCACATTTCGAGTTACATTCAAATTCTCAAATGGTTTCATAGATTGCATCACTGTTAAGTGCCGCCCAAAACATCTGAACAAGTATTGCTTTACTTATATGACAAATATTTATGTGATGCTTGGTTGCAGTTACCCGAATTATCTAGTTTCTCGGATATATTCACAAAATTCGCAACCCCTATACTCTGGTTTCCTGTCGATAATATATGGTGATTCCAATTCTTGTGATCAGAGCTTTCTCAAAACTCTTGGTCATCAACATCTTGTTAACTTTAAAACACGTCAGGATACAATACTAGATTTGATATTCGTCAATGATACTAGTATATATGAAACGTGAAAATGATCCACATTATTCAGCTCAGATCATTGGTATTATACGTGTTTTGCTCAAAATATATGGCAAACTACGCAAAACAGCATTCACATATAAGAAAATTGTACATAGAAACTATTCACATAGTAACATACTTAATCTAAGAGAATTACTACAATGTACAGACTGGAACATATTTGACAGCGATGTTTTGAACTATACTATTAATGGTGTGACATACTATCTCAAGTTCTGCCTGGATATTGAAAAGCTTTTTCTACACTCCGATCGTATATCTCCTCAGGTTGAGGCCGAGAAGAGAAAAAGAAAGACTACATAAAGTAAGTGATAATGCTGGTGCTCGTTGATTGAACGTTTTAATTCGGTTGGAGATTAAACGTCTGTGTCTACTACATATAACCAGAGACTTTTGTCATGCAAAGGTTCTTTCAGCATATAGAAACTTTTTATAGACCTCATTGGCAGTAAACATCTTAGCACAGAAGCACATTCCGATGTCTATGTTTTGAACAAATCGTTCATATGCCAAACTACCTGTCTCATCCCACATTGTCCAACATATGTCCAATGAAGAATGTTGTCCAGAGTTCACCGAGAAAGATGTTTTCAAATGTCTCAAATCCCCGGACCCTTCACACAATTCAGATCCGGATTGTATTTCAAGCTTCGTATTCACGAAGTGTGCTGATATTTTATGCCATCTATTAGCTAACATGTTCAACAGATCGCTTTTAGGAAACATGATAACAGCTGCCTGCAAAGATATTCAGATAGTCCACGTACTTAAGTCAGGGATACCAGGCACAAGTCCAAAATTCCGTCCGATTGTAGTTACCTCTCCGTTCCTGAAAATAATGGGGAAGCTAATAACACTTGTGCTCGAACCCTCATTGAAGGCTTTTGGAGGTCTTAATCAATTTGCATATAAAAGCAGTAGAAGCACTTTGGATACCACCATTCTCATGTATCACAATATTGCTGATAATCTTGATAGAAATGCCAAGTATGTCAGGTGTGCCTTTTAAGACCATACTTTGCTATTTGATTCTGTCCCGAGACCTCCTCTTTTGCTGGATAAGGTAACCGAAATGAACAGTGAGTCTTGGATAATCAGCTGGCTGCACCTCTGGAAATGGCCTTCTGCTTATTTCTTCAAAATGTCAGACTATAAACCTTAGTTTTAGACGTGAACAGAACCTATGTAAACTGCTTAGTTCTCATGATTTTTGTTCTGTTGATAGTCGTGCATTAGAGGATGTTACAAGTGTAATATATCTTGATGTGTTTTTTCCGACCTTTCCTGGTCTTCCCATATCTTACTAATTTCCAAAAGAATTTCCCACCTAACTTTCTATATTAGGAAGCTGAGAGTATCTGGTATAACTCAACCCCTCCTCTTGTGTTTTATAAACTCCTACATTTTACCTGTTCTTCCCTATCGTTCTCCTTTATTCGTTCCCGAATTGCCGAATAAAGACTATGATGTATTGTGTAGAACTTTGAAGATTGTCAACAGAACTAATGGTGTACCTTTAAACCTTTTATTTAAAACAGTTGTGAACAAACATTAACTCATGTAAACTTCTGGCAGGAGTTATTTTATCAAATGACCAGCATCTTCGTTCTCCGTCTGTAAAATATTTGCATATGTCAATCGGAACTATTCAGTAAATTATCTAGTTTGTAAAAAAGTATTATTACAGCTTGAAAAGATGCAGTTTTGAAGTCCTGTTTATCTTCTGTCTTATACTAAGATGGATTTCTTTTTTTAACCTTTACTGACAGTGGTCACAAAGTTTGCTGTAATTGAGATGAGATTTCTCTAAGTTCTAATGAGAAGACATGACCGATCGATAGGTAAAACCAAGTTGGAAGTAAAGATATCATATTGTTTCTCACAAATCCTTAAAAGAATGCTTATGCGGTTGGCTCTGACTAACTTCAGCTCAACCCGGCACATATTTGCGTACTAGGTTGTGAATCATACTTATTGCTTGGATGGTTGAACCGAATCTTGTGGAGTGAGATTTCAGCCTTCGTTGGATTACTTAAAAGTTGAATCTTATTAAGCCACTAGTGTGCCACTGTTTCACTCGCCGGTTATGCTGATAATCGGCTAATAAGCCAATTTTTTCAGAATAAATATGCTTATTTCAAGTGGCTATTCATCGTGGACTGACATAAGTTTGATAACTATTTAAAACCTAGCAGCACTGAACAATAGTTTCATCCTAATATGGGACTTTTCAACAGTGGGTACCCATGACCCCACCAGGGCGGGAACCCAGAAATCTCAGGTTCCGTGGCGAGTATTTTACCTGTGAGCCGATAGGTTGAAGTTCACTGGCCCACATTGGGGCAAACTTAACGATAGCATTAGATGGTCACGCTATATCGTGAACTGACAGAAGTGGGAAGATGTGAACCACTGGACTCGGACTCCTTGACTCATTGACTCTCACCGCAAAACCTGAAAGTCATGGGTCTGGTCCTTCCTAAGTTCGCGGGCTTGCATTGCCCAGGAGTCCCACATAAGAACGAAAAATCTGTTCAGTACTCCCATATGTACAATGGTTCTTTAACCGATATCAATACGCAATAAATACCAACTTGAAGCCAATAAAATCCACACAAACCTCCAAAATGGAACATGTTATTTATCAGGTTACTGCGGTCAACGGAATCCATGATGAATAAAGCTTCTGATCTTTTGGGTCCAGTAGATCAACGATGAAGTGATATCGGCAATAAAAATGAATGACAGTGTTGAAGGGACTGCCGTTGAGTGATAGAAAGTCTTATTAATTTCTCTTTAGTAACTAAGCTATTGATTGTTGTATATCTGTTCCTATGAATTTTCTGTATTTATTTATTCACACTAGTTCCGTAATCTAATGTTTTTTTTAAAATTGCTTTTTTTGTAGCCAAGTAAAGTGGACGATATAGGTGAGCACTTACTGACTAGTAACACATGTAACTTTTCATTATTACGGTGTTTAAAATTCCAAATTAATCCTACTCGTTGTTTTCGTTCAATGTGCCATTGAACTGTACTAATTTATGCCAGTCACTAGCATTTTTTAATGAAGCTATGTGTAGTATTCACCCAAATAAACGTGTACGATAGCCGTTTAAAGTCAGAAGACTATCATCTAGTTTTCTCATAACTAAGTGGTTTTATATTTACTAATTAAATTAGTGCATAAATTTGCACACTTACATTCGGGGTTATTTTTACACCAAGCAACTGTAAGCTAACGGTGAAAATGACAAGTTCAGTATAACTGAGTTTCAGTTTATAACTTCGACCAATCAGACGACAGCAAATGTCAATTCAACGACAGACAGCCAATCAGAAAAGAGTAAGAAACTGGGTGTATAAAAAATCAATTACTCATAAGTAAAATAAGATTAATAACATGGGAAATGTTATGTGAAATATTTTTAAATAAGCATAACCAGCGTCTTGACGATTTTGCCCAATGTTGCTGATCTCAACCTCAGTATAGGTGTCATATGATCAACAGACTGAGGCAAATACCGAAAACTAGTCGTAACTAGCGTCATTCTCCGAGTGCGGGTTGATGCTACAACCATTAACATCACAGCAGCTGACTGATTGGCCAGACGAGGTTGAACTGTTAGCCGCCCACACAATGCACAGTGATGCTGTCTGTACTCAGCCATATATACAGAGAATGGACAAGGCCTTAAGTGCGTAGGTGTTGTGATCAGGATCGATTCTGAAGGCCGCCTTAACAATATCTGAACTAACTAATTGGACTTCTTGATTTTGTGAAAATCAACCTTTCCAACCGAAATAGAAAAATCCAATTGTATATTTCAGTCCCTGATCACCGTGTCAATGAATGTGAACAAAGATAGATAAAAGACGTTCGTAACTGATTAGTTGTTGCTCTCATTCTTCAAGTGGCTCTAAGGACCAACCTAACAACTATTTAAGTAACCAATTAGAGTTCTATGATTCAAAAAGAATTTACCTTTCCAGTCGTAATAAAGAAACCTGATTAGTTATCTCAGTTGTTGCTAGGGTGGTCTTTAAGGTTACTCAATTCTTTCTAACTATGGTTACAACAAATAGCTTTGTTAATTTTCAAAAGTGATGGTAAGAGTGACTGCAAAGGCCATCCTAGTAACTGCTAACTTAACCAATCAGGTTTCATTTTTTTTGACAAGGAAGGTCGTTTTTCACAAAGTAAAGTAATGGGTTATCTCAACAGATGCCAGGGTGGCGTTTAAAGTTCTTTTTGAAATTGAACTGGGATGTTATTTCTTCTGTTAGTATCTTCCATATGCCAATTTCATTTCCCAGTCATTTCTTCCACATCACTTCTCCTATGCGCGCACACAGTCCGGTCAATTAATTTCAGCTGATTAGTAAGGTTATGTTAATCTGATCGACTGATGTCGATTACCTATAGAATGAATATCTTACATCTATGCACAAAAATGATAGTTTTAATTGACCGCTCTTTTCCCCCTACCAAATATCATTAACTGTTTATACTACTATAATATTGGTTATAAAATAGTTTTCCTCATGCAAATATCTGGAGTTAAGATAAAAATTTGATCATAACAAAGAAGTATTATTTTATCTCAATATAAGATCAGACACACAAGTGCATTGGCTCAACTTGCCACACTTCAAGGTAGTATACAAAAAGCAGGTGGATAGAAAAACTCATATCAAAGTAGGTGTAGTGTGGGAATAAACAATCCGAAGATAATGCTTACTGCAAATATTCAAGCTCTAGATGTCAAAGAGAGAGAGAGAGAGAGAGAATTGTCAAGTGAATTGACGACAACTATTGGTGTCCACCAGGGATACCCACTGTCACCGTTCCTATTTAACTTATGGACATAACCCTAGGTATGTCTGAGTTCACGGGGATTGATCTCCACCTGAAGATCATCTGCTTGACTTGGGGTATGCAGACGATATTTTCCTGCTAGGTGAAGGGTCTTCTGAATGACTTAAGCAGAAATTTGAATATATTTGACTTGCCTGTGTTAAGATGTTGCTCCAACAATGGTTTGCTGCCAAGTACTTCCAGTTTGATGGTAGACAGTGAAGTGGTTGAATCTGTCGAACACTTTTCCACATTTACCTAGTCGAAATTGGATATATGTTTGCCTACATTGATTACTATGAAATATGATGTTATTATACAACTGCCAGTTTATATTTTTTGGTGAAGAAAGTGCCAACTTTGGTCATTATTCTTATTTCTTCGCATTTACAGTAAAAAGCAAGGCAATTAACAATATCTTATTACCAATAGTTTGATTCATTATTTGTCTAACCATAAAACGTCTTTTATCCTGTATATTGATTTTTTGAGTTGTCGATCAATTTACGGTTTTTGTATCCTGTTACAGACGCAGGCAGATAGTGTTTAGCTTAAACCAAATACTCCCTCTCTGTGTTATGAGTGGAGATTTATTTTATCGGTGTTTATATTCAATTACAAAAGTCGTTTTCATCTCTTTGGTGACCGATTAAATACACAGTTCTGATGCACAACCATCAAGGTTAATAGATATTATTATGTTTTTTTGGTTATTCCAGGCTTAAGGTGTCAAGAAGATTAGCATTTCCAGCATAAAGTATCTAAATGATGAATTATGACATTTATTGAATACTGGCTTCCAGATGGTAGTATGACGGTTAGCTTTGTTGTATAATCATTTGAATTATCAAGTATTTATTCTGAGATATACTAAGTTTTTCTCTATTCACTGCTGAATTTTTTACAAGATGAAATAAGGGTCATATCAGTTATAGACTCATTGACGTAATTCGAACTGAACAGTTTCTAATCTATCAGTTATCAAAAAAAATCACCTTCCATAGTGTTAGTCAGTTAACATTTTACGTTCTATTGCTGTTTTCTACATTTTAGTCCTTATCAGTTCTGTATTTTAGGTGCTCATTACTTTAATGACCAGTACTTTTACATTTAAGTAACTGAGATTTACATGCCAAGAATGATGTTCCTATGATAATTACGCGTGTTACCTTTTTTATGTTTGAAATTATTGTTATCATCATGTGTTTGATTGCATAACTGATGGTTTTTGTTGGTTAAATGTATGACAACAGGACTTCCTGAAGAGCAGACAAGTGAGCAACGTCGTGGTCATGTTACGTTTGATCTTGATTATACAGAGAATTCATCTATCAGTTAAACAGGAAATTCTAAATATATTATCACAGGCGAGTAAGTTTTGCTACTGATGTATAACGTACAAGTGTAAAACTTGGACACTGTGGTACTATTTAATTCCATAATAGACTTGTTTAAACTGTGATACAGTATTATTTACTTGATGACGTTTCGCGCATAAATTATCGCTCATAATCATATCACTGTAATCACTTCACTTTCGGCATCTGGTTTTTACAGTTATGTCACATCATATTCTTTACTTTTATTGCTAGTAAAGTTTTCTGTATCTCTGGTATAGGTGTCGCATCATTATTCCTATTACGTGTATTGGGTGTTGGCTGATTCGATGAACAAAGATTCACTTGTTAATCTCTCCCTGTTTACCCAAATGCATTCGATGATATTATCCCACCCTATTGTGTGATTGCGTGTTAATGTCTGCATTACAATAGCTCAGTATTTTTTTTAAAGATTATTGATCTTATTAGGGTCTATTATTCTATATTTAACTGAATTTGTATGTTCCGCTAATCTAACTGACCACGACCGGCTAGTTTCATTTATGCACTTGACCTCACAGTCATTACATGGAATTTGATAGATTAGATTATTTTACTTAATTGGATCTGTCGGATCCTTAAGGCAGCCGACGAAGCTTATCTCTGAGTTAGTTTATATGTTTAAATGCCGCCCTAATTTCAAAGGATCGAAACATAAAATAAGCGTTAGTAATTAATTATTATCCAGTATCTTTTATGAAGAAATTCCTACAAACACAAATACAAGAAACGAAATAATAACAGTAATACAAATAGTAATAACAACGTGAGTAGAAAGGAGTTGAAAGCCTGTGCTGTATTACCATGTAAGAAAGGAACATGAGAAACGTTAAGATTCTGGTGAAGTAAATAATACTTTATCACTGTGCTCTGTATAACAACTAAACAAGTCTAATATGAATTATAACGTATATATGAACATAATAGTGGTTAGTAGAGTTTTCCCAGTTAGTTTATGACATCATATGCTGCATGGGTAATTTTACCTAAATTAGTGAATAGCTGATAAGACTGTGTCAAAAGATAATGAAGGTTAGCCACAATAAAAATCATCCATATGGTTCCTCCCTACAAATGTTCTCTGTCATCTGAAACTGAAAACAGTAGATGGAAATGTAGTATAGCTGATTGAGTCAATTTTCAAACATTTTCACGAGATGTTTTGTGGAAGAAACTTAGTCAGTAGTGGTAGATACTTGCTTTTCGATCAGAGATTGTTTGTGTTTATAAAAGTATTCTTTACAATTTGATCCAATTTGTCAAGTATTAGATTGATACTGTGTCATTGGTTGACGTTTAGTGAAAATCTGGGCCGCGGAAGACCCAATGGTCTTTGGGTTGTCGATCTAGTACTCTACCAACTGAGCTACCAGACCCAGCAGCTGGTGACCTTATCATAGGTCAGGTGTGAAAAATATCGACGTGGACTGTGGAATCTGAAGACGTATTAGCTATATGAGCTGAACTTTTCTGAGTATACCGCTGACGAACTGGTTTGGCCTCGAACGTGCGAAACAGTCGTCCGGTGTTGAGATCACTCTGATCTGGCTGTCCAAATACTACAGATCAACTTGAGTAGTTCTTAACTACTTAAGTTATTAAGTAGTAGTATTTCTCTCTTGCAGTCATAGATATTGGTGCAACAATGGTAGTTGGAATAGAATCATATAATTGTATTTTATTTCGAGGTTTCTCATATTCTACCTACAATCTAAAGCTATTTTACACTCGAAATACACCAAATATGTGTATACAGTGTAATTGGATATCAATGACAAACGGGTATTTCTATTTTGAGGTATTATCTCTATCATGGACTGACATCAATTGGGAAACCATTTGAAACCTAGGCGGAGCACTGGACTGCTGCTTCATCCTAACATGGAACTCTTCAGTAGTGCGCATCCACCACCAAACTCAGGACCCTCAGGTTTCATGGAGAATGCAACAACCATCTAGCCACTGAGTCAGAGTTCAACGATTCATAGTTTCCTATTTCTGTCAATTTGCAATATGGTGTGACTATCTACCAAGGTCTTCACAGTTGGTATCCACTTCCTATCCAACTGGTTGATCCCATTGTTCATGGCTTCTCATTAGTACTTCAAGATATCTATCTGAAAGCATGTGTCACTAATGAGCAATATATGGTAATTTATTATTGAGATGAATGAGGATTTTTATTTTGAGGTAGTATTTATCACATATTAACCATGAGACAAAAACGTCTTGAGTTCATTCCCTGAGAAGTTCTATACTAAGAAGAAACAGTTGTTTAGTAATCCCAATTTTTCAGTTGTATTATCTTCATTTATCTGTTTGTTTTGTTGCTTATAAAATAAATGGGAGCCGTAGCAATTAATGTTGTTGTTTTTTTTTAATTGTTTTAGAAATGTGGAAGTTTAATATCATCGAAAACACTTTGTATCCCCTTTATCCCTAGTCGAAAAACTGCTTAGTAAAAAAAAAAATATCTTATTTTTTAAATTTCCATGACATGTTTATCAAGTTTGTTCATTTCTTTCCAAGAATTCGATTAATTTTTTTTCCTGCTTAGTTACTATATATATTTATCTATGTTTGTGCGTATATTTTCTTTTTCTTTGTTTTAAATATGCACTTTCATCTTTAGTGTATTTTATTTTGTATTTTATTTTGTTGCTTACTGTTTTAGGTGTTTTGCGTTTTCTTCCTTAGTGTTGTACTACACCCTCATGCCGTTTTTGTCTTGACTAAGTCATCATTGGGAAATTCGTAACTATTCCTGTTTTTTTTTTGTTTTTTTTTGAGTTTCCTTATGATACTGATGTTCTTCATAATTTTTTTCTTAAGGTATTTATGATTTATCTTCTGATTTTTCTGTCGCATAGCATTTTCTGTATTAATGAGAAATACAATAATAATAGTAATAATAATTATTATTTGATTCTACTCCGTTGTTTTCTCAAAAAATATGTTTTGTTACCATTTTGCGTTGGTTTATTGTCTTCATCAGTATGATCTTCTCGCAGACTATTCGCTTTGTGATACCTTTTTTGTCTACAATAATTGGTATGTGAAGATGCCTTCATGATAGTCTAGTTGCGTAAAGTCACTGTTACTAGATTTGAATTCTAAGGTCTGGTATTATGAGTCGCTAAACAGGAAAGCTTCGATATGTTTAGTGATGGATCTCAAATATTTACTTATTTTCAGCTTCTGAATCATGTAAAATGATATGCACTTACAGTCAATTTCTTGTTGTCTTTGATGTTTGTCGATATATAATAACGTGGATTGATAGTTGCCATTAATACAAGGAATAACTGCAGTTGATGTTGATTAAGTGCTGGCTTCATAGTCTACATCAGTTGACGAAGACAATTTCGGTTGATGATTAGAGTTACTAAAAAACCTGGGTCATTGTATTATTCACAAATTCAGTCTTAAAATTAGCAATCTTGTGTTTACCCGATTGAGCTGCTTTGTCAGTAAAGAATGAGGCTAGTTTTTGATACTGATAAGGATTTAGATGTTTTATCAGTTTCAATCATCTTTCTTGTACATGAAAACTAACCTGACCTCTATCACTTATTGAAGTAGTCTTTGTAGATTATGTGATATGAATATTGAACACTTTTAGTTAATTTGAGAGAAATTATACATCATCAGTGCAAAAGGATTTCCAGAGTGTAGTCGCCATTTTTTAAATCTCAACTATACTACTTATGATGTAATTTATTCAAATATATAATCCTGAGAACAACCAAGAAGCTATCACTCAACAAATGTGCAGAAGGAAGTGGAAATGGATTGGGTATACACTGAGAAGGCCGACTGGGGACAACACTCATCAGGCCCTCGAGTGGAACTTCGATGGGAAGCGACGAGTTGGGCTTCCAAGGCGAGGGTGACATGGAGGAGATCATGTGAGGAAGAAATGAGAGCTTGTGGGCTATCGTGGAACCAGGTTCAAAAGATTTCAGAGAAGAGAGTGGAATGGCGACGCGCTACTGAAGCCCTATGTTCCATTAGGAACCCAAGGGATAAATAATAATAATCCTGAGAATTGTTTAGTGAAACAAGCTAAAGACTTGTAAACTATGCACACCTCAGTAATAACCGTTGTGCAACTCGTTGTTCACCAGTGATTTTAACAATAATTAACGCTATACACTTTTCATTCAAAATTTTAGTAATATCATTCAATCAAAATTATTGCTCATTTTATAAATTGACAAGTTATTTTATATTTCCACATAACTGCGGCTTTCAACTAAGTTCTAAGTATGTTAGCAACAATCGAAATGAAAGCAATGAAAGTCAACTCCTAGTCTTTGGTTATTCTTCAGAGTTATTGTTATTTCAATATTTATGGTTATATTCATTACTGTATGAAATCAATTGAGGAACCATTGGAAGCCTGGGAGCACCGCTTAGTTGTTTCGTCGTAGTATAGGATTTCTCAGCAGTAAGTAGTACTCATTATTGACATGCTTCGAGATGGATATCAGGAAGTTCCTATGTGGTCAACCAGTTGGATAGGAAGTGGATACCAACTGAAGACCTTGGTAGATAGTCACGCCATATTGCAAATTGACAGAAATAGGAAACTATGAATCGTTGAACTCTGACTCAGTGGCTAGATGGTTGTTGCATTCTCCATGAAACCTGAGGGTCCTGAGTTTGGTCACTGATGAGATGAGGTGGTGGATGCGCACTACTGAAGAGTTCTATGTTAGGATGAAGCAGCAGTCCAGTGCTCCGCGTGGGTTTCAAATGGTTTCCCAAATGATGTCCAGTCCTTGATGAAAGCCCGCATTAACGTCAAGCTACATTATTCTTTTAATCTTTAATTGAAAGGCGACTGATATGGGATTATTTTTTGTCTCATTATTTGTTCTTCTTGAGTGACTCGGTATTCGAATATCTTTTGTCTAGCCAACATGTGTATAATATCACTAGGAAGACAGACTCTGGTATCTAGTTCGTTGAATGACAATAGAAATGTTTTGTAATACTATTCTTCTATAACAACTGAGTTATAGAGTTTGAAGATTTGAAAGTAAACGGTAATTCTAATCTATACTGGAAAGAGTTGATTTAATATGTGAAAAACTAACTGTGGATAGCATAATAACAGATTTTTATTTTCAAGTCTGAGAAATAACTTTTGAAATGCACAGTGAATGAACAAGTTATGCCGATATTTCGATTATATGAATATAGAAACACTTTTATGTTTAGTCTCATTAGAATTTTTCCACATCAAACTGTAGAATAGTCCTCTAAATGAAAGGATCAGTTAATTGATGTTTTCTTACTACAATATAGACTATCCCATCTTGGTTTTGGAAAATAAAGTGTTGATAAAATTACCATTCTTGATAAACTCAATAGTATTCATTTAGGAGTCACGTTCACTGTAGAATAAGTAGGGTAAAACGATGGTAGCTTGTTCCTGAATGTTCTGCCGTAGCGGAGATTGAAGGGAATAATAAAATGAAATACATCTTGACAACCTGCATCTACTGGTTAATTTACTCAGTTCTTTAATACCTTACCTCTCAAGTATAAATGAAATTTGCTGAAGTATTTACTATATCGTGCACAAGTTATGTATGATGTAATGGTAGCGCAGAGAGTTATGGAATGTGAGATCGAGTTTCAATCCGTAGATGATCCGTTCCAAATCTAGTATCTTCTAGCCTCAATGTCGCTTATTCTAAACAGTTGACCATCCATCATTTTTTTCCTGAAATGTTAATCATCTCACCCCGATAACTATTCATTATCTATAAAGGCATCACCTAAAACTAATAAAAGAAAAAACAAATGAAAATGGTTCACATTTTAAAGGATCGACTAATACTTTTGACTTGTTAATAGTATTTTCATTTTAAGAGGCTCCTGCAGTTAAGGACTGTTGCATCTTATCACTTAATAACACTTGTAATTTCCAGTTGTTTCATATGTACCAATAAGTGATAATAATTTATGCCCGTTGAACAAGAGGTGGCTGGTTAACCTCCATCGTTTATTAGATAACGCTTTGGCATTTGAGGCTATGGGTATTGTGTTCTAGTCTCTGTGGATGCTGCTACATCCAGCTGACGAGTCTCGAATGGGACAAAACGCACATCCTAGAGTAAACTGCTAGCTGCCACCAAGCAAATCATATCTTATATGTATTTTTAAAACAATTGGTGACTAACTAATCGTCGATGACCTTTCCGTTCTTGTTCTGCATAGAATCACAGTTATTTCAACACAAAGTCTCACATGACATTGTAAACGAACGAGACAACTATGTGTCACACTCCTCTTTTAAAGTACTGATATCCTCTGGGTATATTAATCTAACTAATGCTTAGATAAGACTAAGACTACTTTATTGACCCATTTTACATGTAACTCATTTTTGTAAGAAAGACCATGGTGATAACATACCAGATTAAATGTTCCTTGTTTTTTTGTTATCTTTAGATGTCCTGTAGCGCATAACTAAAATGCAACGTGCACGAGTAAGTTTTCAGTTTTTTGGAAAAATAATCATAATTTTAAGTTGCGATACTTAAACAATCTTGCCTACTACGGCTCATTAATGACAGTCAACTCTCTACTTCAACTTCATCGATTTTGAAAAGGCCTTCAACAGCGTCGACCGAGAGGTGGTAATTTAGCAGCTTCTTCAACACTGTGGTTTTAATGCCACAAACCTTTATCAACCTCACTCAACAGCTACATGCTATGCTATGTATGATGCTACATGCCAAGTGGTTCACATCGCAATGGAAAGCTTAGTGATGCCTTTGAAGTGAAGACAGGAAGGAGTAAGACAAGGCTGTCTACTATCATCATCACGGATGATCATTCTGATTGTGGTGGACTGGATCATGCAACCGAGTAGGGAGAAGATAGGTATGCGCTGTTTGGCCTATGAAAAGAGCCTAGAAGATTTGGACTTCACTGATGATGATGGTGATGATTTATGTTTAGTGTCTTGTCTCAGAGACTCGAAGATCTGCAGGCAAAAACCAAGAAGTTGAGAGAAGAGGCAGTGAGGGAAGACGGGACTTCCTTTAGGTGAACGTAGAGAAGACAGAGGTGGTGAGGGTAGGAAACGAACAACAGCAGCATCAACGACAAGATGCACCACTGACCATGAAGGGGAGAAATGTAAAGGAAGTTGTCTGTTTCACCATACCTAGGTAAGGCAGTATGGTTTCGACTAGAGGCGGGTGTAGCGGCACATATGAGGATGTCAAAGAAGCGAGAATCGGAATGACAGGAAGACAGACCTTCCTTCACTGATCTGAAAGCAGTGTGGAGATCTATTGCACTGCACTCAGCATAAAACGTGAACAAGATGCGGATTTTCAACACTAATGTCATTCAAGTCAGTTCTTCCATGTGATGGTTGAGAGAGTTGGCGGCGCGTCACGAAAAGCGTTCCGAACAAAATGCAGACATTCATCAACAGCTGTCTATGCTCAGTGGATAGTGACAGTGAAGATCAGATAGATGGTGAGAAAGAATAAGCAACAAGGGACTCTTGCTGGCCTGGTGGTTGGCAACGAGCCAGCCAAGAAATATGCAGAAGAAGTTGGAGATGGATTTGGCATACAGTGGGGAAGCCATTTGGGGATATGACGCGTCAGGGCAGGCCTTTGAGTGGAAGCCAAATAGGAAATGATGAGTTGGTCATCGGAGGCGAGGATGACATGAAGGCGATGGTGTGGGGAAGAAGTGAAAGCTTGTGGGTAGTGGTGGAGCTGGGTTCAAAATACTACAGAGAAGAGAGTAAAAGGGCTACATGCTACTGAAGCCCTATTTTTAATAAGAACCCTAGGGGAAAATAGTAATGATAATAATAATAATGGCTCGTTGGTTTATAGAGTTGACTTTTAACCAAAGGGTCACGGGTTTGAACCACACTCCTCTGCTGAGGCTTAAGCAGCCGGATAGTATCACCTCAACCCTCGCACTGTAGGTATAACCCATTTTCTACTGCGCGAATATGCATAGGGTTGCTGAGGGCACTTCGATTTGATTTTCGTTTCGTTTTATTAAATAACGACAGTCTTACAACATGATGATGGTTAGTCACTTGATTGCTGCTGATAACATTTCCGACTGTATGCTAATTGTCACAGTGACATGCTACCTTCTTGGTGATGTTTAGCGCTCTTATGATGTTGACTTAACCATAAGATATTGAGTATGCAATACTGTAGGTGTACCAGTTTCTCTATTCATCTGAGTTCTGAACTTCCGCATCCGAGAATACTTGATGGCTCGTCATATCTAATCACTGCTGTCTTCGTTACAGTAGTCTGTAATCCTCACTTTTGATAACATGGTTTCAGGCTTGATGCAGACCATCAGTCATAAAATTAAATCTCCTTGTAAAGTCAGTTTCCGAATTATATCATCTCTGGCGCCAATTGGCAAGGTATCCAACTACTTATTAAATGACAAGTATACTGTGCTGCACTCTGTTATCTTCTGTTATGTGGCTTTGAGATTTGGTCGGTGAAAGAGATCATTGATTTTCAAACATAGGTGTCTTCGTAGCACTACTGGTGTACGGTGCGTGCACAATGTAAGCAATCCCGAGGTTATGTGAAGAGTACTGGCCACGACAGGTAAATTGGTTGATTAGGTTGTGATCCTTCATCGATTGACGTGGCTTGGAAATATGCTACGCTTGCCGAGTCACCACTTACCTCTACATCCAATGTCAGCAGGAGTTGGACTAGGTTAGAAGAAGGCTCACGTTAACCGTATAAATGGTAAACCCGTCATTCAAACTGATAATTATGCATTTTAAAACCAGGACGAAATACAGTCTAATCGTTTGGTGGGAGCAAACGGGTGCTTTCAACCCGAATCTGCAATACTCGACCAGATCCCCTCAACAGTCGTGTCTGTGTGCTGTTAGGTTAAAATGGTTCATCTCGAGTAAGAAGTAACTGGCAAGAGAAATTATATCTGTTTGTCATCTCTGACTATGCACCCACGGATTGCAACCCGGATGCAACCAAGGATGAATTCTATCATCAAGTGAGTGACTTCCTCAACCAAGTGCGCTTGACAGATATTGTAGTGCTAGCTGGGACTTCAGTGCTCGGGTTGGGCGTCTAGGTTTAAAAGAAGGCCGTCCTGGGGGACTATTTGGCCGTAGATTGGATAATGGGGTCATCTTCTACAGCCTTGTGCAGACCACAACCTGTTTCTAGGCAGCACCAACTTCTGATACAGCCATCTACGTTGTGCTACTTGGCGTCCTCCCTCTGCTACTCAAGCCTGGACTCAAATAGATCATATACCAATCAGTTATTGATGGAATGGGTGCATACAGGACTGTCGTTCCATGTGGAGTACTTGTTTGGACTCTGGTTATGTTTTAGTATGTGCTGTGCTCATCTTGCCTTTTGGTTGTCATCAAAACCGTCGTTCTTAACAGGTCGATGCAAGTAGATTAGTTGCACCTAATGTTGCAGCTAAATATCAATCCGAGCTAGATCTAAGGCTAGGTACTGATCCTCCAGAAAGTGTAGACGAGCAAGAAGCTATGAAAATGGTAAGTAAAGCCGCTTGCGGCTTGGGCGGACATCTTGCTAATAAACACAGGGTCCCTACGAGCTCCCTGGAACTTCGTGACGCCCGTTGGACAATCCTGGTGGTTAGTGGGTACCATGTACCTAGCGTCCGCCAGATGCTTGAACATGACCAGATCGACAATCGTTGTGTTTCTTCACATTAGGGCTGCCTTCGATTCGTTGAGCAGAGCTGTACTCTGGAATTGTCTGTTAGAGAGGGGCGTACTTGAGAAATTTATTAGCATCTTGAAATAACAGGCTATTCAAGTCGCGCTTAATCAGTTAGGGACTAATGTACGTAAGTAAGTATGGTATGTGCTTTGCACCATTGAAGTGCAAAGTGCTCTTTCAAGATTTGGAGGAGCCCATACCTGAGCTCACCCTTGGTGGTGAGCTGTCGGAAGTATTCGTAAAGTTCGTGTGTCTGGGTAGTTGTGTCACTGCTGGTGGAGGTGTGAGCTATGAAATTTCCAACCGCGTATCGGAAACTAGAGTGACATATACCAATCTGGGCCACCTCTGGCACCGTCGCGACGTTAGTCTGACTGTAAAAGGTTGAGTTTACAACTTTTCGGCGCGAGCGGATTGCTCTACGCCTATTTAACCTGGCCTTTCTGAGCTGAGAATATGAGACGACTCTGTATGTTCGATCATCGTTGTCTCCGTAGGATAGCTCATATGCTATGGCCACATTTTGGAAGTAATTCTAAGATGCAGCAGCATGTGTTTGGGCATACTTGAGATCGTCATTCACTACATGAAGTCGTTTTGAAACACTGGCCTTGGTGGCTTGGATGTGTGTCACGTATGTCATCCCAACAACTTCCACACCGTTCATTGTTTGGTAACCCTGGAACTGGATGAAAGAAGTGGATGAGGTGGTTAGTATATGACGTGAAGCAGTGGGCTGAAGGATAGTTGCATTGGGTGGGCATCTGTTTGTTCATCCCGACTCCCTCGATAGGGTCTGAGAGATCACTCAACTCAGTGACTTGAGACGCTATCAGATATGGCTCAGAATCGAAACCAATGGCTGTCATGCTGTAGCTTCCTTCCATCTTCTGTTGCTAAAAAGTAATGAACGTTTTGTTTCCAATGTACTTTACTGAAGTGCCTTTTCAATCATGCTATTCTTACCGTATTTTTCTTCCTTACTCATCCACTTACCATCGTTTTATGTCTTCATATTGTTGTTATATTATTTGTGTTGGATGTATTGATGATAAAGTTTCTGACTGTTGGTCTTACCCGTGTGGAAAGGAGTAGACTTACTGGTTGGGGAATGGTAGGAAAAATGTAGATATGCTCATTTTCTAACGTGATACTACGCGATGAATATTTGTTCGGTCGATATATTTGTACGCACCCAGTCTCTATAGATTATTCTTGAAGTTATACAGTTTGTTGATTTGATAGTTGTCAGCTTATTCCACGGTTTCTTTTTGTCTATTACTTTCAAAAAATGTCTTCCGGTAAGTGATGAGATCTTACTGTCCACCTAATCTTTACTTTCTAATCATCCTGTTATCATCTATTAACTTTCCTGTCTTTATGGTGTTATCATACTTCTGTATGGTACAATTCTTTGTGTACATGTTATACTTAATTTTCTGCTAACTCTTACTCAGTAGGTCAATGGTAACGTGTTGATAGTAGAACCTGAAGGTCATAGGTTCGATCTCTAGTGAGGTCAGGAGTGCCCATTTCTAAGGAGTCCCATACTAGGATGAAACAGCTGTCTAGTTCTTCCAGGTTTCCAATGGTTCTCCAACTAATATCAATCTGAAATCACTACCTATCTGAAATTAATATATAAAATCTCCACAAAACCTCAAGAAATTCAATTCGTTGATGAAGATTACTTTTAGCCAGTTGTTGGATTCTTGAGATTCGTAGATTTCATAATCGTTTCTTATCCTGAATGAAAGGTTACTTATATTATTATTTTAAAAATTTTTAGGCCGTGACCATATTTAAAAAACTTCATCGTACATGTCAAAAAGTATTCAAAGGAGATTCAGAAACACTGAAAGGTAGATTTAAATAGATTTTTTGTTTTCAAAATTTGGTTGATAATTTTATTTATGTGAAGGTATAGCGTGCAACATATATGAATTTTATAGCAATATTATTATTATTATTATTATTATTATTATTATTATTATTATTATTATTTACTATTTATCCCTTGGGTTCCTAGTGGAATATAAGGCTTCAAGTAGCACATCTCCATTGCACTCTGTTCTCTGCAGTCTTTTGAACATGGCTCCACGACTGCCCATAAGCTTTGTTTTCTTCCTCACATGATTACCTCCATGTCACCCTCAGCTGGGACGACTAGCTCGCCGTTTCCTATGTGGGTTCCACTCGACACTCTGGCCTGGCGCGTGATGTCCCCAGTCGGCCTGACTCAGACAATATATATATATATATATATATATATATATATATATATATATATATATATATTAGTCAATGGACTGTGATTATTGTTCTAGATAATATTGGTCTAAGCATTTGATTTCCAATGATTGGGTCACGTGTTTGACGCTATCTCTACATCTATCTATCAAGGTCTGAGTAGCCAGGTAGTATTATTAGCCCACATACAATAGAATATAGCTAATTACCTACAGAGTGAATGTGCAAATGTTAACTGAGTGCATTCCAACTCGATAAACTATTATTCGGATAAGTTTTTATCAAAAATAGGATAAGCGCTCAGCTTTTAAAATAAATATATATGATCAGGCTGGGAATATAAACTGTTAAAAATCCTTAACCTAGATACTAAGTTTTTTAAGAATGGTTTATATTACTGTCAGAAACTCCTACTGGCCATACTGTTTATTGCTTAAAATTAAAATGGAACCTTCTAAAAGTATTTTTCCCCGATACATTTCAACGAACTAATTCTTTATCTAATAAAATCGTAGCCACTGGTCAATCATTTATCCAGTTTCCAAGGTAACTGTACTCTAAACTGCGAAGTATTTTACCACCTTTTTTCATTTTCAACCTGGAAAGCAGTTTTATTTATTCAATAACTCACAAGAATATCAATGGGATAACATTTCTCTCCTTTATGAAAATAAGTCTTAATAATAATAATAATCCCAGTATGTTGAGTAAACTAAAACAAGAGTTTTCTTAAAGTATCACTGTGTAAGCCATGACTTGATCAGAAGGACATATCGAATACTGAAGTAACCGATGATGGTTACATTACGAAATGTCATAAACATTTCCGCGTTTCTCTAAATACACTTCGTTCTTATTAAAACCTTTTATTATAAAGATTAATTTAAGCTTAAGGGTATCTGTCAAGGGTGCCCACTGTCTCCATTCTTATTCAATTTTATCATAGATATTCTCATAGAGGTCTCTCTCGTCACCAGGTTACACAGACGTTGACCTAATCACAGGAGGATTTTCGTTAGACCTAGAATATGCAGATGACATAGTCCTGTTAGGTAAAGACGCTGACAAGATGCTGAGTCTTCTGAACACTTTGAGAATGTTTGGGAATGTTGGCATCTCTCACCATCCAAATGGATTGGTCTTCAACGGTGCCACGGCTAACAATAGAGAGTGTAGAGGTTGAGTGTGTCGACCACTTCACTTACTTGGGAAGTGGGATTAGACTTACCCTGGTGGCTCAATGGCCTACGAAATCTCTACACGGATACAAAAGGCTCGACCAGCTTTTGCCAACTTACGCCACCTGTGGCGCCGCCATGATATCCGATTGTCTAATAGTGGGGTGTACTCCAAAGCAGTCCACTCTGTTTCACTGTATGGCTGTGAAACATGGCCATTGAAGGTGGAAGACATTAGAAGGCTTCAGGTGTTTGACCACCGTTGCCTTGGTAGTATAGACCGTATTCCGTGGTGTCACCACGACGTGAGTAACGCAGAAGTCAGGTGTAGAGTTTTAGGGAGTAGGGGTAAATCATTTGACAAGGTTATGAACCTTCATCGACTGAGATGGTTGGGACACGTACTACGTATGCCTAGTCACCGATCACCTCGTCACATAATGTTAGTCGAAGTAGGTCCAGGCTAGAAAAAGGTCCGAGGTGGCCATACTAAAACATGACATCACTGTATGAAGTCTCTGACTATTGTTTTGAGCCATGTGGGGCGATGCAGACTAGGTGGTTGGGATCCACGGGACAAGAGAAACCAGTGGTTGGAGACTGACTCTAGGAGATGTCAGTGGCGTTGATGTATACACATTGTCCTCATCTTAACAACGCTATACCGAATCTCACCATTTTCTCATTTTTCCTTTCTCTCTTTTTAGTTTGTCAAACATGTATTATTGACAGTGGATGATTATTGAATGTGGAATGAAAATTTAGGTTGCGGCATGAATCGAACCAGTGACCGCCGGGTTTCCGGCTCTTTTTCTTTACCAACTGAGCTACGAGGCTTGACTCCTGGCCAGATTTCTTATTTCTGTTACTATTGGTTCGAATCCTACCATAACCTAGATTCTCATTTCACCTTCAGTCATTGCCTAGTATCAATACACGTCTGTCAAACCACAATTATCTCAGATAGTCACACTGATAACCAAAATGATGCTCCCCCTCTCTAATTCTACTTTATTCGGATTGGGATGAGAAGTCCTGACTAGGCAACCAGTGTGAGTAGGATCAAGCTATAGTACCACACCACAAATTCACGTGGTAGTTGGGTGGTTGGTGATTGAGGTAAAATTAATATCTAGTAAGGTGTTTAAACACCGTTGGTTTGTTTCATGGTGTCACCACGTGAATGAGTCAGATGTAAATTTTAAGGACAGAGAGGTAAGTTAGTTGATGCGGTTGTGAACCTTTATCGACTGAGATGGTTGACTGGGACATGTGTTACGTATGCCTAACCGCTGTCCTCCTCGATACACAGTTTTGGCCGAAGTAGGTCCAGGCTGGTTAAAGTTTCGGGGTGGCCAGACTAAAACATGGTGTCAATGCATGAAGTCGTTGTCCATTGGTTTGAGCCGTGCAGGACGACGCAGACTAGCCGGTGGGGGTCTGCGGGACAGGGGGTATCAGTAGTTGGAGACTCTAGGTAATATGGCTTAGAATCGATGTGAATGGCGCACATGTATACACACATTATCCTCATCTTAATTGCTATACCTAATCTCATCATTATCTTATTCTTTCTTCTTCTCTTTCCTACTTTCTATTTCTTTTGACCGATTTTTTATTTCCTTCTTCATCTTCCATGTGATCGTCTAGTGGTTTGATTTGCTGACATGAGGTGTAGCAACCTAGACTGTTATGCAGTAATTTCTAGCCTTATGCTGATCTTGATGATAATGATGAGTTCGGTCTCACAGCTCAGTTGGTAGAGCACTGGGCCAGAAATCAAGTGGTCGCGGGTTCGAGTCCTGAGGCGACCCAGATTTCGATTTCACCTTCAGTCACCACCCAATATCATTACATTATTTTGTCTGGACAGGTGGTTTTCTATGAAATACGAAAATCTGATTGACTATTTCACTAGTTGTCAGGTTGGCTCCTAGATTTAATCATCTGCTTTATTTTGATTCTTCATCGGGAACTATGGCTCAGTGGTTTAAGATGATGGCTATCAACCAGTAGTAGGTTACAAGTACGAACGTACCACCTACCAATGCTTGAACAACCAGGTAATATCGTATTAACCCTCACACTGTCGGTGTGGCTCAGTGCGTCCTGTACGGATGTGCAAAAGGTGGCCAAGTTCGTTCCGTCCTTTCCATGTATGTATGTACATCAACAACACTAAATGGTGGTTTATTTCGCGATAATTACATACTTACTAATCCATATAAATTCTTTCAGCTGCTAGGGAGAAAATTAATTCCGAATTTCGAAATAACCGAAGTGAAACTGATGCAGATAAAATAAACGAAGTGAGTTTACTGAGCGTATAATTGTATCGTGTAAATATATTACGCACTTCTCATCATCATAGAAAAGAACATAGAACGGTGGTCATTTCTTCACCTCAACTTCATCAGTTTTGAAAAGGCCTTCAACAGCGTCGACCGAGAGGTGGTTATTTGGCAGCTTCTTCAACACTGTGGTTTTAATGCCACAAACCTTTATCAACCTCACTCAACAGCTACATGCTATGTATGATGCTACATGCCAAGTGGTTCACATCGCAATGGAAAGCTCAGTGATGCCTTTGAAGTGAAGACAGGAAGGAGTTAAGACAAGGCTGTCTACTATCATCATCACGGATGATCATTCTGATTGTGGTGGACTGGATCATGCAACCGAGTAGGGAGAAGATAGGTATGCGCTGTTTGACCTATGAAAAGAGCCTAGAAGATTTGGACTTCACTGATGATGATGATGATGATGATGATGATGATGATGATGATGATGATGATGATGATGATGATGATTTATGTTTAGTGTCTTGTCTCAGAGACTCGAAGATCTGCAGGCAAAAACCAAGAAGTTGAGAGAAGAGGCAGTGAGGGAAGACGGGACTTCCTTTAGGTGAACGTAGAGAAGACAGAGGTGGTGAGGGTAGGAAACGAACAACAGCAGCATCAACGACAAGATGCACCACTGACCATGAAGGGGAGAAATGTAAAGGAAGTTGTCTGTTTCACCATACCTAGGTAAGGCAGTATGGTTTCGACTAGAGGCGGGTGTAGCGGCACATATGAGGATGTCAAAGAAGCGAGAATCGGAATGACAGGAAGACAGACCTTCCTTCACTGATCTGAAAGCAGTGTGGAGATCTATTGCACTGCACTCAGCATAAAACGTGAACAAGATGCGGATTTTCAACACTAATGTCATTCAAGTCAGTTCTTCCATGTGATGGTTGAGAGAGTTGGCGGCGCGTCACGAAAAGCGTTCCGAACAAAATGCAGACATTCATCAACAGCTGTCTATGCTCAGTGGATAGTGACAGTGAAGATCAGATAGATGGTGAGAAAGAATAAGCAACAAGGGACTCTTGCTGGCCTGGTGGTTGGCAACGAGCCAGCCAAGAAATATGCAGAAGAAGTTGGAGATGGATTTGGCATACAGTGGGGAAGCCATTTGGGGATATGACGCGTCAGGGCAGGCCTTTGAGTGGAAGCCAAATAGGAAATGATGAGTTGGTCGTCGGAGGCGAGGATGACATGAAGGCGATGGTGTGGGGAAGAAGTGAAAGCTTGTGGGTAGTGGTGGAGCTGGGTTCAAAATACTACAGAGAAGAGAGTGAAATCTTGAGGTGCCACTGAATCTTTGTGTTCCACTAGGAATCCAAATGACAAATAAATATGAGTAATAATTAATTGATTGCATTTTATGGCACTGTATCACTCTTGTTCGTTATTCCATTGAGGGGCTTTTGACTCTGTTGCCTTGGGCGCCCAATTTCTATGGTCACCAGAATTGTCGCAAAACAAAGAGAGGTTACTGCGATGATAATCATCTTTCTATGGTTTATTTTCACAGCTGTATATTCGTAAATATATACATAAAGTGATGCAATGTTTCAGATTGGTTTCCAGTCAAAGATCAAATGTAATCGATGGGTGTATATAGGTAAGGAAATGATAATGAAGTTTGAAACATGGATCGTTGGGATTCCGACCCAGTGGTTGAATGGTAAAGTGCTGGTCAGCGAACCTGAAGGTCCTGGGTTTGACCCCGCCGGTGTCATGAGTTTGCACTGTTGAAGAGCCCTATACTAGGGCGAAACAGCTGTCCAATGCTCCTCTCAGGTTTCCTATGTTCCTCTAACTGATATCAGTGCGTGATGAATACCTACTTGAAAAATCACTAAAGCTGCCCACAAACCTTTAAATTGAAACGATAGTAAGCAGTACGAAACATTATCTCGATAGTTTTTTTTTAAAAAGGAAGTGAATATTAGGTTTTGGTGTGTGGTGAAACTAAGTAAATAAGCATATAATGAAATGTGTGAATAAGCCAGCAAAGATGCAAACAGGCGCAGAGAACTAGACTACGGCTACGGTAAAGAGTGTTCGAATATGCAATTGAGGTTTGAAGCTGTGTATTGCCAAAACTTTGGCTACATATAAGGGGCTAATCCTCACTTATTTTTGAATGGTTTGGTCAAAGTTTGTAGAGAACTTTGAATGAGGCTACCTGAAGGGCCAGATTTCTAGAATCTACAACATGTTCAACGATGGAGCTGAAGCCGGATTCCTGCTCACACTTCAGCAACCAGACTGGTTAATGTTCGTGAGAACGTTTTTAAAGTGACTGCATAGTGAGGCTGGTGTACTTGGCTCCATAGGGGCAAGCGAACTTGTTATTACGCATCCATGTTGCCTAACGAGCCAGGTTGCCTTTCATGCACTGATCAATCAGCTGTTAATATGAGTACACATTGAGGAGGTTTGCGGCATAAAATGTCCTACTTAGTGGCTTTGACAAACATTGTCGAGGGACGTTCGTGGCAATATTACCTTTAGGTATGAGATTCATTCAAAGTATTTTCTTCGCAGCTGTCTGAATTTATTCCATAATCTTTTTGTCTTTCCTATTTTTCTTCATAAATCTCGACGGATAACCATTTCCTAACAGTATTTCTCGGAGGATTTCTGAACAAGTATATTACCACTGCTTATCTTAATTATTCTTGATGGGAGTTAGCGCACAAGATTTCCTTTTCCTACCTGAAGGATCCCAACTTTGAAAGTCGGTCAGTCGCCCGTTCCAAGTGAGCTTTCTGTAGACTGATCTTAGAATGGAATCATCTGGCCTCCTTCGGAGTTTGATATCGAGGAAATGAAACATCGAGTTTGATTTAGCTTCTAATGTAAACTTGACTGAAGGGTGAGTGTCGTTAACAAGGGACAAATAGAAATATAATCTTAGATCGATGATAAGAAGGTTCAGTAAAACGAACGGTCTACATAAGGTCTTAATCGACAAGATTGTCGCTGAGTTTTCACAGTTTTTGTCCTATTCAAGACCAGGAAGATCAAGTAAAATGCTTGTTTAATAGGATCTATTGTATCTGATGTACAGATTCGAGGAATGGAGATGTCGAATGACTGATAAAAAAAAAACACTTATGGAAAACGGATATCAGGTTGAGCAATAGCCAACACAATACACAATTCCTAAGAGAGATTTCCACATCACTCTACTATACAGAGGGGAGTTGAGTAGTATAATTCTGAGATGAAGGGTAACGTCAGCTATTAAGAAAGCCTATTATGCAGATGAGGTTATTGTGGAAAAAAACAGAACTCATGCTTCTCCACATGCTTAAACAATGCATCAGTGATTACGTCACATCTCATTGTGTTTACCAGTTTACATATACATAAATAGGAGTAATCGAGTTTTACAGTTGAAAATGGGAGAATATGTACCTAAAGGGTTTCAAAAACAAAGTATAAAACTTGAATCAGCGCGGATGGGGAGACGGCCTTCTTTGTCTATAGCTAAACATGTTATAGAAACAGATCACAAAGTTAATGTTCAAGCAGATTTCAAAGTTTAATATAGAAACAATCAGAGACTTATACTGAGACTTGTGGAAGCCATAGACATACATAAATTGAAACCACCTCTGTATTAACAAAGACAGTTTGTTCTTACATCTACCTTGGTTGACCTTTTTTTTTTCTTATCAAGATTAAGATCAACTATGTCATTCTTCATTTTTGATTCACATCTTTCTTAATTTTAATCTTCTCTTGTTTTAATTGTTGTATTTGTCCTCCCACTCACTGTTCGGTTTAATATATATATTGACTTGACAAGTATAGTTGAGCAGATTGTTCAAAATGTGTATTGTACAAATACATTACATATTGTTCAGATAAACCTTTTCGTTTAATTACACAATTTAAATTCATAAACTGGACTAATTATTTCATATTTATAGAATGCAGAGTTACAAATATTTTGTACATTGAACATGTCTCTATATTTATTGTCTACATTTTTTAAGTTATTGCAAACTGCAGAGGATTCTGAAATGCTTATACGAACAACAGTCATTCAGATGGAACTTGTTAATGAAGAAAAAAATATTTATAGTGAGTATTATCTTCTGTTTATGTATATCTGTCTTGGAGAGGAGAATATTTCGGTGTACATGAGCATATATATGTATATATATATGCTTGAGTTCCTAGTGGAACATAGGACCTCAGTAGTACGTCTCCATTCCACACTTTTCTCTGCAATCTTCTGAACCTGACTCCACGACAGCCTAGAAGCTCTCATTTCTTCCTCACATGATCTCCTCCATGTCACCCTCATCTGGGACGAACAACTCGCCGTTTCCCATCTGGTTTCCACTCTAGGGCCCTGACCTAGCGCATGATGTCCCCGAATGATCTTCTCAGTGTATACCCAATCCATCTCCACTTCCTTCTACATATTTGTTGGGTGATAGGTTCTTGGTTGGTTCGTTGCCAGCCAGCAAGCCAACCAGAGTTCCTCGTTGCTTATTCTTGTTATTCTGGCCATCTGAGCTTCAGTAACAAGCCAGCGTAAACAGTTGTTGATGAATATCTGTAGTTTGTTTGAAATGCTTTTTGTAACTCGCCAAGTCTCTGAACCATCACATGTAAGCACTGACTTGACTGGATTTATGTTGAAAATTCGGATGTTGTTCATGCTGAGTGCAGAAGATCTCAACATTGGTTTCAGGTTAATGAACGCCTATCTTGCTGCCTTTCCGATCCTGACTTTGACGTCCTCGTCTGTGCCGCTTGTAGTTAAAAAGATGATGCTGCTCTGCCTAAGTAGGTGAAAGAGGTTACTTCCTTTAAATTTCCCCCGTTGGTGGTGATTGGTGCTTGTTGTTGATGTTGGTTGCGTATCTCCTTAACCTCTCTGTCTTCTCTGCGTTCACTTGAAGTTCCGTCTTCTTTCGCTACCTCTTCTGTCAACTTGTTGGATTCTTCCTGGATAGCACGGGTTTGAATCTTAAAAGGGGATTTCAGTTACACTCAGATCGTATATAATTCTTGCTGAGAAGTGACAACAAACGTGTAAATTAGGCGGGGTAGAGCTTCATTTTGATTGCCTCCAACCAACTATAATCACGAAATCTTCAGTCAGTATACTGTTAATTATTCTTAAATGGTCTGCAGTAACTACGTCGCTGATGTACAGAAAAGTAGTTATTGTGAACTTATTCAAATAATAATGGATCCACTTACCATGATGCATTAGCAAATCATGAGCGTTAGATGAAGATCGTCATTTCTGATTAAAAAAATTAAAATCTAGGCATTAAAGTACGAACTCTGACACTTCAGCATTGAATGTTTGAGATATATTTTTAAAAAACCTTGTATATATCCATCTCTTTATTTTGTCTAACACTCAAAAATTTATGAGGGTTTCACGTCTCTAAGGTCTGATGGTTATTTCAAACCTTGAAAATATTTTCCGCTATGAAGTTCTTTTCTTGTATGGGTCTTGTCGACGGTTGATGTTCGAAAACTTCTCTTAGTTGCAGACTCACTTTGTACATTTTTATTGTCTGGAATTGTTCTTGTGGTAATGAATTTATAATGTTAATTTGTTTCGCATTGAGTAGGTAATGAAATTGTGGTTTATTGGTTCAGTCATTTAACCTCTAATGAAGTTGGGTCATGCGTTCGAGTCCCGCCCCTAAAATGTTCTGAAGAATTTTTAGAAAATTGTTGGGGAGATAGGCTAACCAAGCGATTTTTATGCACTAATAAGAACTATTCATCTCTTTTCGTTTTTATACTGTAAAATCTAAAAGGAACAAAGGTACTGCCGTGATCGGTAGTACGACCTTGCAGACTATGAGCGATGACAAACCTAACGCGCAGACTAATTGACTCAACACAAATCAAAACGTCAACGATCATCACAATTATACCATCGGCACACAAAGACAAGAAGGGAAGACAAACCGTTGACAGACAGCATTTTACTATCTCAACAGCAGTCGAAAGTAGTTAAGAGCGATGCTGAATATATATATTAAGAACAAGATATTCAGCTAAGAGACTCTTTTCAACGAATTTATTTTCAAGCTGTACAATCGTATATATATGGTATTTGGAAAAAATTATATCCTGTGAGGAAAACTAAACACTATATGGTGATGACAATAATAATAGAGCGGGTGATGACATAGGCATTTATGATTATAATAACAATTGAAGTGCGAATGATAACAAATAGATTATGTAATATATGGAATGGTACATAGAGAGTATATAACTCAGAAGGGGGTGAAAAAATTGTTGAAAATGGTAAATCAATTAAGTATTATGTAATGGCATTAGACAAATTGGACAAGATGAAGTCAATGTTTTCTAAAAGGATTAAGACAATTAAGTGAAACAACACCGGAAACTAGTTGAAGTGAAGGCGATTATAATAACAATAATAGTGATAAAGGAAGGATACAAAGGTTAAATTAACAAAGTGGGAGGGGGAGCTAATGGGGTGGGAAAATGTTATGGCCATGATAAAGACAGTGACTGCACATACTTCTTTTGTACACACAGATCAGGTCTTAGTTCATGAATAGCTAAAGCCTCCGCTGTTTTAAGGAGTTGAAAACGAAGAGAACGTGGGAGGTTTGGGCGAATTCGATAAATAATTTCAAAGTCATCGTCTGGATTTGTTGTGTGATGGAAGTCAATCAAATGTTCTAGAATCGAACTTCTAACAGACTTTCTTTCACCTTTATAAAACCAAGCAGGAACATGTTCTCGTATACGTGTAGAAAGCATTCTCTGGCTACGGCCGATGTACCTTGCTCCACAAGAGCAGGTGAACTGGTAGATGCACATAGAGGCGGCCAAACGAGGAAGCTTGTCTTTGACGCAGGTGGAGAATAGGTTGTGGCTGGTAAAAGTCAACTGGAGTCTTGCTGCGAAGAAAGTCCTATTGATTGATCTGGTAAGACGATTCTTCAGTACATCCGATGCTAGGTCTCCTTTAAACTCTAGGCTCATAAACAATCTTTTCTTTGAGACCGAGTGGATGACTGGTTTAGTGTTTCTTTCCCGCATATTTTTATCAATAAAACGGCTAGGGTAACCGTTTTCGACAAGTATGCTTTTTAAGAAAGATAGCTCTTCCTCGATACAATCGTCACTACAGATACTTCTTATTCGATAGCAAAGAGAGTGAATAAGATTTCTTTTTCTGTTGATGGGCACCCAACTATAAAAATTAGTTAGTTGTCCGTTCCACGTTGGTTTTCTGTAGATGGATCTTTTAAGGTATCCATTCTGACGTCGGGTGAGAAGCACATCAAGAAAAGGAATAGTTGATTCTGATTCCTTCTCTATAGTAAACTTGAGGGCTTGATGACATTCATTGAATGAACGAAGCACGTCGTCGAGGTCTACATTTTTGTCGCAAATAACAAACGTGTCGTCCATATATCTTCTATAAAAGTCAAAGCTATCAATAGTTTGACGAAGTTGTGAATTTTCCAGTTTCGACATGAAGAAATCTGCTAGCAGTGGTCCCAATGGTGACCCCATCGCAATTCCATCTTTCTGTCTATAGATTTCATTATTGAAACTGAATTGGACATTAAATGTGCACCTCAACAAAAGCTCTTTCAAGCAGCTCGTTGGTAGTCCTACGTCTAAATTATGTGCATCAATATAGTCACATACATAACAGACAGTTTCGGTGAGTGGCACACTCGTGAACAATGAAGTGACGTCTAATGAAAACATCATCTTGTTTAGAGCATTAAAATCCTTAATACCCTCAACAAACTGAAATGTATCACGGATAGAAAAACTCGATACTTGCCTTCTAACAGGTTCCAGAATTTCAGCTAACCATTGAGCAGTTCGGTGATAGGGAGAACCAGCCATATCGAGGATCGGACGAAGAGGTAATCCCGTTTTATGTATCTTCGGTAGTCCATATAGACGTGGGATTATAGAGCCAACCGGTCGGATACGTTCATATAAATCAGGATCAATTATTGATTTATCCCTCATGCTTTTTAAGACATTTGTGAGTTGTGTTTCAATTATATGTGTCTTATTGGGCTCACCTTCGGGTTTAGTAAACTTAGTGGGATCAGAATATGTATATTTCTAAACGATTTTGATAATACTGAATCTATACATAGGTTGAAATAGTTAACAGCCAATGAGAGTTCAGCGTAGAGAGTAGAGGGGAAAAAACTAGCAGTGGTACGAAGAAAGCCATGATAGGTTATTTTTAAGGTCATGGGCAAAACATCAGGCAAAAGTTATGCAGAATTAGGGGTATATAGCAAGTACTTTGAACCTCTTTATCCATACTTTCATTCATTTGTTTTTACAGGAATGAATCTTCGTGAAGATTTAGCCTTTCAAGACAATGAACCGCATGTTAAAGAAAAGTAATTAGATTACACTAGCTGTTAATGAAATTCGTTGCTTTCATTCTAACAAGTTCCAACCGTTTTATAATGGTGTAGCGGATTTATTCCTATTACTGTCAGGTTGTTTTTTGTTGTTGAATAAATATTTGAATTTCAAACTACTTAATTTGTGATAATAGATAAGTTGGTTATATTGTTACTTGTATTATCCCGTTGTTGATTAGACCGAATTGATCGAACTCTGTTGGTATATGGGCTCCTGTGCGGATGCGTCGATATTGGCACTATTCATATTAATGATGTATAGCGGCTAGCAGTAAAATCCAGGACTCACAAAAAGTGGTTATCGTGACTCAGTCACCTAATGGGTAGCGTTTTGGCATGGAAAGTGATCAGTCCCAGTTTCCAGTCTTAGTGGGAGCAACATCGGTCGTTAGAGGGAGACAGGTATATCCAGCTAACGAGTCTCAAATAGGACGAAACGCGCTTCCTGGATTCCATTGCTAACTACTATCCAATCAACCAACCAATATCAACATAGGACCAGGTATTACTGCGTAACGGTCCGAGTTGCCACAGCTCATATCAGTACATCAAGTAGAAAGGTAGTGAGGTGAAGGATGCAGATAAGTGAATGCAGTCAAAAGAAATATAAAGTACGAGAAGAAAGGAAAGAGGAGTGACAAAATGGTGAGATTCGGTATAGCGTTGTTAAGATGAGGATGATGTGTGTATACATCTGCGCCACTGACATCGGTTCTCAGCCATATCATCTAGGGTCTCCAGCTACTGGTTCCTCTTGTCCCGCGGACCCCAACCACCTAGTTCGCTTCGCCCTACATGGCTCAAACCAACAGTCAGAGACTTCATACATTGGTGTCATGTTTTAGTCTGTCCACCTCGGGCCTTTTTCCAACCTGGACTATCATCAATATACTAATTACTTTGTTTTCAGTTTTGATATCCGTCTGATTATTTAACTTGAATGGTTACGAGCTTTTAAATGAAGTTACATGAACCCCTTAATTCTCATCATGAATATTTCTTTTCGGTTTCTAAAATTTAATCAGGCTCCTTCTAAAAAAAAAAGGAAGATGCAAATATACTTTTAGCATTGATTTCTTGTGTTTTTTTTAAAGAGATGGTATGAATAACAAACAGTAGTAGTATTCAATGCACAGATGATCCAGGCCTAACAGTAGCCTATTTTCTTTTGATGTCTTTTTTATGGGTGAACATGATAAGTAATAAAATTCGTGCATTTTGATACTGGTCTTGTGGTAAAAAAGGCTATGAGTCGAAGTCTTAGTATATAAAAGTGATAATGTACCTCTCTAACTTTGTAGATGACTTCAAGTCGTCCTAATCGATTTCCCGGGAGTTTAGTAATTTGGAAAAAGCAACTGAATTCATGCATACTTTTCAAGTAGGTCTTCTATCAAACCTATATATGCTCTCTATTCATTCCAGTCATCGAAACTATTCAGATCACTTTTAGACAATTTGAATTGCTTCCTCAATCTGAGTAGCGCATCTAGTAACTATATGAATGATGTTCAACTTTGGTTAAATAATGCATTACATCAACCGATTAATGGAGTATGTGGTATCATAGAAGATAATTAAGCTCAATATTTTCCAACATGTCCATATCAGAGTTTAGAAGTTATTGTAAACAAATGAGCTATTAACAAAAGAATGGGAATACGAGGATGAAAATCACTTCCACTTTCTTGATTTTTTTGGTTATAGAAGGAAATTGAAATAAATACCACTACTGGGAATTTATCTATACCGTTTTATTTTGTATCTGGCTGTCTTGAATATAAATTTTACCGTGGATATTCTTATGACTCCGTGTAAAAAGGGCAAGGTTGTTAGCAGCGAAGGGGGTATTGTAGAGTTATCAATTTACCAGTGATTTACAAATTACATGATCCACGTTAACATTTCTCACATCTGAGTAGTTTTTCATCTCCCAACTGTGGTGTTAACAGGGTTACCGTTGGAAGCCACTCAGTCAAGACCACAAAGTGTGATCTCTGACACAAAAGTAACATGAACTAGTGAAACAACTTAAGTAGTTAGAAACCACTCAAGATGTTCAGTATGTCAATCCATAGAAGTCAGCTAGCTAAACTTAAGTTATCTGAAGTAATTAGACTATGTGAGCTGAACTTGTCCGGGTGTACTACTGATGAGCCCGGTGCTGAACAAACGAAAAGACCGTCCTGTGTTTAGATAACTGGTCTGGTTGGTGAAATCTACAGATCAACCTGAGTCGTTTTTAACTATTCAAACTGTTCAGTAGTGGTGTATTAGAGGGTTAACTATGTCGATAAACTCCTTAATACATATATACATATATTTGAAGTGATTTCGGTTTTTTTGAAGACATTAGTGGTGGATAGTGCCTAGGAGTGGAAATCACGACGCGCGTTCTATTCTATTTGGGTTTCGTCAGCTGGATATACCTGCCTCTCCTTTAGTGAACGATGTCATTCCCACGAAGGCAAGTATCAATGCATTGATAGCCATTGTGAAATTGTTCAAGTTGCTGCTGATGACGATTCTTGGGTACAACAAATCTTTTCTTAAACATGACACGGAAATCGGTAAGTATGAGTACGTGACTGTGGTGACGATGTTGTTGAATCTATTTGTTTTAAGAAAGTTCTCCGCTTTTCCGTAGGTGATACCTTGTTTCGTGACTTTTAATGATTTCGAAGTTGGCTGGTATTTTGCCTGCTGCATCTTTTAAAACTTGAAGTACTTCGAACTCATGTTTTACTGCTACAATCAAAGTATCCTCCTTTTATATGCGTTTCGAACCAATAAAACTGGATAACGTATCTGCTTGTCTGAGATTATCTGTAGACTGATGCTTTGTCTCAAAATCGTAACCGAGTAGCATGGTGGTTCACCTTTGCAAACGGCTTGCTTTGTAAATTGGAATTCTGTTCGTAGAGGCAAAATATGCTAATTATGGCTTACGGTCAGTTAGTAGTGTCAATTGTCTTCCGTAAGTCATTTTGTTAAATTGTTCAACTGCGAAGATACCTTCTTACTTTGACAAAAAATTCCAACCTGTTGAAGGTAAATATCAGACAGTATGTGTAATACATTTTCACACCCATCCGGAACAATGAAATGTTACTGTTCTATTTATGTAGTTCGGAGCATCGAAAGAAACGCAAAAGTTTGTAGTGCTGGGTCGTAGCGACTAAGATATTGATTAGTGACATTCTTCGACATGAATTTCTTGAAGTTCTAATGAAAAGTCGGGACCTATGAGGTTAACCATGTCGATTATGAGAACATATACTCGCTGATGTCTTTGGATGGCGGTCGTACTATATTGCAAATTAACAGAAGTAGGAAAATGTGGACCATTGGCTTTAGACGCAGTGATGTACTTGCCGTGAGACTTGGCGATTCTGACTTCTATCCCTCGTAGGGATTGTGCGTGCGCACTGCTGAAGACTCCGATACTGCGATGAGATAGCTATTCGTTCCTCCTAGATTTGAATGGTGCTCCAACTGACGTCAGTCTCTGCTGAATACTGCCTTGAATTCGATGAACCCCTCAAACCTCCAAATTGATTATCTAGTCTTGTTTGAAGCGTATCTGTCAGTTTTATCAAGAAGCCTTCAGAAGTTATACTGAAAGGAAGAATGTAACCATTTTTGAGTAAAAACTTGCATTTATCCAGTTCAGATATGGAGTGGATGATACTTCAAAAAAAATCGACAGTAGCGTGCAAGAGCCTCTTTTTCCTGTTCGACTGCGTACTATAGCAGACCAAAGAAAAGGAAATCAAAATCTCTAATAAGCGTGGTCAACTATACTTTTTTACTTATTTAAAAAAAAAAACATTTTTCGTTGGGACTCCTATATAGCTCATCTCATGAGCTTTGCATCGAACTATGGCTTATTTCTATACGATTTATAGGTTCGAAGTAACTGACTGTTAAATATGAACAAGTTTTATGCATCTATGTGTGAAGTTAGTTGTGTTCATGTGTTTCAATTGTATATATGCACGACTTTAAGGAAGATACTGATCATCAGTTTTTGTCTTTTATTTACGAAGAAAAGAAACTAGAAAACTGCTTGTTAAAGTATCTCAATTTTCTCATCTTACATTCAGTTTATTTGATGAGTCACAAACGTATAAAGTGTAAGCAAGCGCAATGATGCTCATGTATCAAGACGTTGTATTGTAGAGTTATCAACTCAAGCACATGTTCAAGTTATGTTTTTTATAACGAGTGACTCTCACGACCACTGACTGTCTCAATAGTTGTAGGATGATCTTTAAATTCATTCATCCATTCAACATTACATCCGACTATATCTGTCACTTCATATTCACTTGACGACGCAAGTTTTCTTCCAAAGCACAGATAGATGAATTTGTATTCTTTTCACAGAATCTTTTCCAAAACAATTTGAGACTAAATTGTTTTCAATCTTTACTTGTACGTTATGTTGACCGAACAAGCGATTCTCCAACAATCAACCAAACGATTGAGTTACGCGTAAAATGAAAAACAGGATTTGTCTGATATACCGTCCTGTACCAATTAACGATAATGATTGATTAATTAATTGTAAACCTCGAATTGTGAAGTACCTGTCAGTCTGTCACTATCAAAACACCAACACTAAGACTGTCCGAAGAAAAAGAAAGAGGTGTATGTTATCACGATAAGGTGAAGACATGAGATAAACAAATGTCCGAGATAAAGTAGAACATCAGGAAGCAAGAAAGAGAGTCCCAACATCATCGTGAACCGAGAGAGGTACTACTACCTAGGCGTGTTAAATGGTGATACCGAGTAGTATAAAACTGAAGGTAGAAAAAAAGCCACAAGGGTAAACAAGAACTAGATAAGGTGGGAACTGAGTCTCAATGGTTTTTAATATAATGAATCAACAAAAAACTTCTATTCTACTCCTGTATTCCACAAATATAACCTCGATATGTTCTGAAAAGTGTGTTCTTTTTAGATGAAAATCATCAAGCAAAAATGTTAGATGAATCTTTTATATTATTGGTCATTATTAGTGTACCTCGGTGTATGTAGCTACTATCTATTCACAAGTTCCATTTATACACTTTCGTTGTGTTATGAGAGCTACTTATAAGAATATATATGAGTAGTATACACAGCAACGCAAAAGTGATAACAGTCGACTGCTGAGGATTCAGACAGGAAGAATACACAAATTGGACAGGAACAGTGCGGAATGGAATGTGAAACAAAAAAATTGTTTGCAACCAGAAACCATGTTATGAGGTTTAGTATTTTCGTAATAAACAGTATCCACCTCTGCATTTGGTTTCTCCTCAATTGTAACAGAAATATAGGTTCAATAAAGAAAACATTTAGGTACCAATGTAAATTCAATCCAGTTAACTTGTTTAATTCTTGGATGGTATTTAAATAGTGTCAGTCCCACGATGACTATGTAGGCTCAATCTATTCTGTGTTTTCCATCTTTAAACTACTTTGGGTTCCCACTTCATGTTATACAATAATGAAGTAACAGAAAGAGACGTTCTGGAAAGCATTTATTGTTTAGGGTTTAGTTATATTTATCATTTGACTATCTGACAGATGTATTTATACCGGATGGCGATTAAGGGTTCAAACCAGCGACCAGTATAAATACTAGTCTCCCAAACCACGGCTATCTCAGAAAGTCAAATCATAATCGATACGATGCTCCCACTCTCTGATTCAGTTAGATTTAGATTTGGATGAAAAGTCCTAACTAGGCAGCCAGTGTGAATATGATCAAGTGGTAGTAATGCGTCGCGAATTCACATAGTAGTCGAGCAAAACCCTTAGTGATTGAAGTGAAATAATGTTCTGGTCAGCAGTTGGATTTTGTAGCTGCGTTGGTAGGACATCGGGCAGGAAATCTGGTGTTGACTGGTTTGAATTCGGCCGCGGTCCAAATTTACATTTCACTTTCAATCATCACCCACTATTAATTATATTCGATAAAAATATGACTTACGTTTTATCATGGTAGTTATTTATTGGAATATCACTGAGAAGAATACGCTAGAAAGAAAGGTCGAAATAGGAGATATCAATGAAGAAGACTAGAGAGTGGGAAAAGATAAACTTTTACGAAAGTTTGCAACATTACTTTTGTCATATATGGTATTTTTGAAAGATAAAACAAGATTCAGATGCTTGAACATGATGTCGGAGGATTCTCTAGATTGTTATAGGCAGTGTTTTGATGTTCAGAGTTGATGGAGTTGTGTAGGGTAAAGTTGTTAGTATTTATGCCCTTATCTAGCTAGAATGAACTGTTGAAAGATACTTCGACGAACTTGAATCCATATGTGGCCGGTGTGCATTACAGTATAGGTGCTTGGATAAGTACTGGAGGCAATTATAGATCTCTCTAAAGGACCTGCATAAACTTCAATCGTGTGGGAACGTGATTTCATTTTCAAAATGGTAATGTTAGTCAGATTTTATGGACGTTACTATTTAGTTATTACTTAAGCTTGATAGCACTTCTTACTCAGTCTGACGTCATCCGTGGCTTACTCTAATAAAAGAGATGATGATAAGCAGTAATCTACGTCAGTCGGTTC